GCTTTTCAGAAAATATGGTATGCTTTAGCTCACAATTGAGGATTTAGCACTAACTATTATCCATCTAATAACATAAGACAATCCTTACATGCAAACCTCCCATGTAAAGGCAAGTAATTACTTCCAATATTACATTTACACATTGGGAACCATATAAGTTTTTTCTCAAATTAATGGAATTTGATACTTAAATTCCATAGAAATCCATCCCAATGTTTACTAGGGGAAGCAGCACTGTCCCATAAGAAAGTTTGTGAAATATTACACAAGTTGCTTTGCTCTGCTACGTTACTAACAATCTTTTAAAAAGATATGTTAAGACAACCCATTCCCTCCTATATATATCAATCAATAACCCAAACCATGAATTGAAACCACTATGATTTACAACTGAATCATTTGTAACACACATAATCATGATAGCACTTCAGGTTCTAGAGATTTTACCACATATATAGTAGAAACTTAGCTCACTATCAAAACCCCATGCAAGGCGGAGCCATGACTGCTGGTAACTGTCAATTAAATAGACCAGATATGCCAGTGAAGCAATGACCTGAGAATGGAAAACAAAAGAACCAGGCATTATACCTAAGAAACATATTTTCAATTGCTGAAGTAAACTAACAATCAAGAACTGATTACATACTAGTTGAACAGCCAGAAATATGGACAAAATGTCTCTGGTCACAAAAAATCGGAATTTCAGGGTTCGCCATTTCCTATCAGCGGCTACATGAACTCTCAAATGATAAGGAGCTTTACAGGTTGTGCAATGAGCAAATGCAAACCCTTCCTGCAAAGGAAAAAAATGACATTATGAGATATGGTAGCTAGGAAGCTGGAGAATAGTGCAAAGCACATGAAAAACACACACACACATATAGAGATAACAAGCTAGCACCAATGCCCAAGTCCCTCTTTCTGACTGGTTATCATTAAATGCGTGTGTTCTGTGTGCAGACAGATACGTGCGCTCATAACCAGCTAAAACCAACTTTGTCCTGTTGACTGGTCATATTTTGAGGTAGGTATTCTTCAAATACATAAGCAACATAGGTTAATAAATAAATTAGTAAAGAGAGAATTAATTTCATATCAATGGGTTGCTGCATGTTTTTGTAAATCTCCTGCTACAATTCAAACCATATATTTATCTTTCTATATTTCTACTTTTTCTCTGATCTTGGCAAAGGTAGATCCAAGGATATCAGTTTTGGAGTGAAGTAATATTCAACCATTAAGGCCATTTTGACAGACACCAATTTTTTTATGTAATCTAATATAGCTACATTTCTGGAAATTCTATTACAATTTAGCAAATCATACTTGACTTAGGATGATTCAGCATTTGGACTTTGGAGTTATATGCTGATGTTCAGGCAGTTGAAGGTTTACTGCACCAAGTTCACCATATTTCTGTTAGGAATACTTTCCGATCCAGGACAGCATACGAAGCTATCAAGGCAACAACTACGATCACAATAGAGGGGAAAAACTGAAACCATTTATTCATGTATGCTCATTAGCTTAAAACTAAAAATCAAATTGAATTTAAGCATTGTGAGGTAAATCGGTACACAAGGTATTGAACCATTGACAGGAAAAACTTTACACAGAATAGACAAACACTTAGAGACTACATATCTTTGCCTTTGATCAAGACCTATTGACTACCTTGGCGCGCGGGGCGGGGGTTGTTGGTGAAGCTGATATCTAATAATGTTAGGTAAAACTGGATTTTAAACCAAATTTAAAATTTCTCAAACAAATGACTAATGTAGCTTATATATATCTCCTTGATGTTGTATATATGTCTAATTTTTACTTTGTTAGCAGACAGAGGCAGATTAAAGAAATTGAATCAAAATTATGAGAACTAATCAGATATTTGAATGATGTCTAAAAATGAACACTTGAACGGTGCAATTTAGTGAAGCAATAAAATAACAGCTACATAAACATCCTTAAGCTCGACTAGAAAACCATAGTACAAGTAAAGTATAATGCACTCAAATTACTCAGTCCAAAAAAGAAAATGGCTATTAATATCAATACCTTTACAGCTCGCCAGTGATCTAAACATTCGCGGTGAACATATTTGGATGTTCCTTTGCACTTGCAAGGAGCAATAAAATCTCTCCCTGAGGAAAAACATTGCATATTGAACTATTAGCACAAATTCCGCGAAATCACACTTTGGCAGTAAAAATTAATTTGTTTCTCCTGATCTATTTAACATTATCGTGTAAGACTTTCTTCGTCATCAATATCTTTTTAAAATATATATACTGGAACGTAAACTAATGTAGTTGCAAAAGCTTCACAGTGCAATTTTACTACTTTCCTCTCTAAATTCGGTTAATAATCCAATCAGTTCGGTAGCCCTAGACTGATGCACGTAACTGAATTTTTAATATAATTTATTAGATTGACCGGAAGTTTTTTGAGGGAAAGCTGTTGAAATAAGCAAAATGAGCATGATTCGAAGCAAAATCGTAAAAAAAAAAAAAATTAAAAAAAGAAAACAAAAATTTGATGAAATGAGGGCTTAAAAGTTGAATATACCGTCAGTTTCGAGGCAAATTCGACACTGAATTTGATCGGCGGGACCCGCCTCGAGGTCGATCTCGCTGGGCTCGGTAATCGGTGGGGGAGCCATGAGAGGCAATTCTTCCGATTCATTGCTCATTGTTGATTAACAGAGAAACAGAGGGAGAAACGAAAAAACAGAGTCGCTTTTGAAAATTGTAATAATATGGAATTGAAACTTAAAAACTATAAATTTACAGAGAAAAAGAGAAATCTCGTTTTTTTCCTCTGTTTCTTAAAGCTGCTGCTACTGTTTTTGCGATGTGCTTTTAGAGAGAAGAATCTCAACGTCGCTGATTTTCATTTTTCTTTTTTTTTTATTTTACAATATGGAATTCTTTTCCTTGTCTTTTTCTTTTTTCTCTTTTTGTAATTTGGGAGGAAATATAAAAACAGAAAGAAAGGTATTTTGCGTTTCCCTAAATAACCATGGATTTGTCTGCTTTGACTAACATGTCCCCTGCCTTTTCTCGGCTAACGTTGCCCATTAACTGGGCCAAACAGTAGCAGTTTTTCCACTCACTCTTGCACGTGCGGGCGGTTTTTCTTTTTTGAGTTTCATTTTTAACCCTTTATATTAGAGTATATATTAACTAACTTTGATCCCGTACTTCAGAATTTATGAATCTTTAATATAAATAATTAATAATTTAAAATTATAATCTAAACAATATTTTAACATAATAAAACTACTATTCAACTTTTAATATGGAAAATAAATTATTGTAGTCATTATTCAATCTTAATATGTATTTTAAAGTTATGTCACATTCTATTACAAATTTATTGAGTTGGAAAATATGTTAAACTATTTAAAAACATAAATTACTATTATTTCAAAAGAAAATAAAGTCTTGTAATATTCATTACTATTACCTACTTTTATATTTTAAGTGAATAAATATTTTTTCAGTAAAAAGATAACAAACACTAATCTCTTTGGTAATGTGTTGGAAACAATTGTATAAAACAAAGACAACGATTAAATGTACATTTAAGTAACAAAATTAATGCATGTGTTAATATAAACGTATAAATTAAACCACACATATATATATATGATCGAAAAGTATATATTATTTTATAACAAAATTGTAAACTATATTATATGATATAGTTTAACTTTCTTAATTTAGAAACATTCAGTCTTCTCTATTCTTTTTTTTTTTATTATTATTATTATTTTAATCTGATAACTTGTAGAATTTAGATATTTTCAAATATAGATTTGTTATTTTATTTGAATTTGGTAAGTTTGTAAACGATTGGCTGTGCGAGTCAACATTTGTTCTTCGTCAACTTTATACCTTCTTTATATAATATTATTGTATTTTTTATTTCGTTTTTAAATTTATTAAGTTGTAGATAATCATAATGCAAACAACCCCAATAGTAGTGCTAAAGCCATGCCGTTTTATGCGTTGCTGTATAGCCTTTACTTCTCCGCCGGCTCTTCTGCATCAAATCAGCGGCTACACCTCAAAAACAAAGAAAAAAAATGCAAACAGTTTTAAAGATAAATAAGGAAATAATTAATGGGAAAACATTGGAAATATTATTGCAAATTTTATATTGGAAAAACATTTTATATTATTATTTAAATAAACGTTGACACAAAGCAAATGAATAATGGTTGGATACCCCTTTGGAAATGCTTGCAGCAGTGAAAAAGACGTTATCCCACCAAAAGATTAACATGGAATATTAATGGTTTCTGGAAAAAACTATGCGAGTGTGCGTTGATTAAAATAAAAAGCTATCATGTTAACGCAATTGTCAATATTTTTAATACTCTTATTGCCAATTAACAATATTATTGCCAATTTTTAAAAAAATTATGTCATCAGAAAAATAAAAATTCTGCCTTGCCTATTCATGGGAAAGATTGATCATTAAATGCCCTTTTTATAATTTTTTTAGTATGAAGAAAAACCAAAAATTTAATAAAAATTAAGGTTTTTATTGGATAGGATGCGGAGAAAATAGTAAAATAATATAAAAGATAATAAAAATTAAAAATTAAAAGTTATAAAAATATAAAAATTTACATTAAATGAGAGTATTTAGCATGACCAAACGAGTTACATGAAAACACACATTTACATATATATATATATATATATTAAAAAATCACATATGATAATGAGTCATGATATATAACAAAAATTTTACATTCAATGTATGAATCTAGTCCTTCGCAAATAATTAAAAAATATATTTGATATAAATTATATTTATTTCTAAAGAATTAAAAACACACATAAATATTTTATGTTTAATTTGAATCTCTTCCCCTATACTTTTCCCAACCCAAGGACACGTAAAAGAATAGACAAGGATCCAACAAATCCCCCTGAATAAATGCACTCGCGCCCTTTTAAGAAGGGTCCTGAATTCTCTTTATATGCACTAAACTTATAATACTTTCGTTTCAATACCCAACCCTTTTCAGAAATTTCATTTTTTCACAAAAACGAAGAGAAAAAAATTGCAGAAATTTATAATTGGAAAGTGTTGGAGGAACCAACTACGCACCCGGACATAGGGGACAATTTTTTTCCAATAAACTTATATGAGTAACATGAGGACTTATTTGAAAGGACAGGTTTTTATGTGGCTGCTTCTGTAATTTTGCCGCCCAGAAAACACTAACCTTTTATAACTGAACGACACAGTTTGCTTCTCCCGTTCGACCTCCCATCTTTCCTTCGATTCCTTCTCTCAGACGATGGTGAAAATCCAGAAACCCAAAAAACAAAAACTCAGCAATAAAAAAATTAAAAAAACCGTCAAAAGGATAAAAAACAAACCCCACAATTCGGAAAAACCGACAGTCCCCGAATCTGAACCCGGATCCTCCGACTCCGACTTCGATACGGAAACCCTTTCCGAGCTATTGGAGCACTACACCAGAGACCAGCTCATCAATCTTATCTCCGCGGTCTCACTCGAAAACTCCTCGTTCCTCTCCTTTGTCCGCCTCTACGCCGGTAGCGACGCCGCTCATCGAAAACTTTTCGTCCATAACCTTGCGTGGGACACCACACGCGAGTCCCTCGCGTCGGCCTTCGAACCGTTCGGTGAGATCGAGGATTGCAACGTCATCGTCGATAAAGCCACCGGCAAATGCAAAGGTTACGGGTTCGTTCTCTTCAAGGAACGAAAATCGGCTTCCAAGGCGTTGAAAGAGCCGAAAAAGAAGATCAACTACCGAATAACGTCATGCCAGTTGGCATCCGTGGGTCCCATCTCGGCTGCAAAGGATTCAGATCAGACCCACCACAAAAAACCGGCTGATGTGAAGAACAAAAACGTGGCGGAGCCAGCTGTACTTTTTCCGCCACAGCCGCAGGTGTTGGCGGCGACGCAGAATTTCCCATTGTTGGGCCATAGTAATCCGATTTATGGGAGCTTGTTAGGGAGCCAAATTAGTCCGGTGACGCCGCTGGGGGCTACGAGCAAGATGGCGGTTACCGCTGTGCCGTCGGCTGCGACGAGCTACGTGGGTGTCGTGGGAGGAGCGTTTGGGAGGGAAAATTCGTCATTGCTAGGTCAGTACGGGGCAGGTCAAGGGCTACAATATTTATATCCAAATATGCAAATTGAGCAGCAGCCAGGGACAAGGAGAGGTCAGGGGAAAACTACGACCGGGGCTTTTTCTGGGTATCCCTCATACATTTGGTATGGTTCTAATTTGTTGTCCATTCTGAATTTTAGCTTATTTGTTTGTTCAAACTTTATACTTGGTAGTTTTATTACATATGTTGATTGGAGTATATGTTATTGGAGTATATATTATTTGTTTAAATTGGATAGTTTTAACTTTGAGTTATTGAATTTCGGTCTAATTGTTGATTCAAATTAGATGTTTTTTTGGCAATTTATGTTAGATATTTGAAGCTTTAAGATGGATTTAACATAGTAGATATTGAGGGTCAATCCACAGTTTACTTCACTGTTTGTTACATTAGTTTATAATTATGTGTGGCTAATAAGTTAATTTAATTTAATAGTTAATGATAACGATCATCTCCTATGTTACATGGAATAGAGATCCATTGTCAAACACTCGTATGGTATGTAGCTGGCATGGGTATGCCATGTTTTTGGCAATTTTTTACATTGATTTGGAGGATCTAAGTGCTATACCCTAGTTAATTTAATGTGTCACAGAAGTGTTACACAAGGGGATGTTAGAGGTAGGGTAAACTGACAAGTCCATATAGCATACAGATAATCACCAACATCGTCATCCTTTTTGTTGAGCCTGCACACAAGGGTATGTAATGTCTTGGTGTTTGTTTTAATAAAAAATTTACACCCAATTCACTTTCTTTGTACGTGGGCTTTTCCCTGCATTGCCATTACTGGTAATTTAGCTTACAATTTCTTTACATACAAGGGTCTTCTTAGAAGTTTCGTAAAATCATTTTCCTGGTCTAGTCTCTTTAACACTTGTTTCCCTAATCATACCAGTTTTACTTTAAGGTGTTTCTCTTTTGTTTCACTTTGTTTGAGGCTTTGGCACATTGTGCAATTAGAAGCCTTACTTGCATTAAATGGCTGTCTGTAACCTTCATTCAGGGTTACTTATGGAATGGTCAGTCATCCAGTTATGCTATTTTTGGATGTAAGAGTTCTATTTCTTTCCCTTTGAATAATTTCAGTGTTTTATTTCTTAATTTTGGTTGCGAAATTTAACCATCAGTTTTTCTGGCATCTGCTATGTCAAATTTTATATTTTGAAGCTTTAGTTTGTTTAAAAGTTTTAGCTTGAAGAAAATGCTTTTGCCAGAGAAGCATTTTATACTTTATGTTGTTTTATTGCCATTACATCGCTTGGACTCGATATTTGCAGATGATTTGCAGCTGAGTTTCAAGATGTTCATGCACTTTTGGGAAATGTTTCATGGTCATTTGCTATGGAAAAATTTGAAGTTTGACAAAGTTTCTTATGGTTTAGATTTTCAAATTTTGCTGAGCTCAAATAGAACTTGGTGGACCAGGACCATTGCTCTTCTTATCTTCTTCCTCTTTGGTTTTTTTCAACTTCTTCTTCTTCTTTGTTTCTCTCTTAAACATACAAGTTTGTAAGCAATAGCAACTTTCAGATTTCCTTTGTTAAATTTTAATTTCTTCATTCTCTGGCATTACAGCTTTCTCTTTCATTTCGGAATTTCCTTTTATTATATGAAGTTTTTTTTCTCCCATCATTTACTATCTAGAGATCTGGGGTAGTAAGCTGATGAATGTGATTAATTTATTTACTTTGGATTATGACCTTCCGTACTTATGATTCCAATGATTATATTTTGAATATTTATAGAAAAGATCTCATTGTGTCTAATTAAAATATTTAAAGGATTTATTTTATTCTAATTAGGTATGCTTATATAGCTTTTTATCAGTTTTCTTTCCCACATTTATGAATGAGTTATTGTTAAATTATGATAATACTCTATAAACATTGCAGAACCCAATAATTAATCATGAAAAAATCACTTTCAAGTTGCAAGAAAGCTCCAAGGCCTTTTTTTTTTTTTTGTTTTATGTTGATTGGATTTAAGTTTCTATTTGTAGTTTACTACTAAAAAATACTATATAAACATTGCAGAACCCAATATTAATGTATTAAAAAATCACTTTCAAGTTTCAAGAAAGCCCCAAGGCCTTTTTTTTTTTGGGTTATTTTATGTTGATTGGATTTAAGTTACTAATTGTGGTTTACTGCTCAATATATGCCTGTTTTTATGTGGTTTCCCATTTTGATCCCTTTTTCATGGAATAATGTTTCTTTTATGCTTTCCTTACCAAGTCAGCCTGGTCACAATACCAAACAAATTTCAATGGTCTGAATTTCTTACCCCTGTCCCCTCTCTCTTCTCTCTCTCCACCTTTTTTTTGTGATCAAACCAAACTCGTGTTTGTGTGTTATTTATTTCATTTTACCTTTTTCTTTTGTGGGAGGGGAATTGGAGAGTTGAGGTTCACCAGAAGAACCTTTCTTGTGTTTATGAAATAGATGAATAAAGAATAATCAGTCTTTACCTTGAAAATATGTCAGCAACATTCTAGAAATTTCCTTCCCCCTTAGATGTAGTAAAGAAGGGATATGAAGGGTTCCTAACTAAGAATTGATGCAATTGGAGATTAGTAGACCTGTTAATGGGCTGGGCTATTAGCCTTAAGGTTTAGTTCTGGCCTTCCTGTGAACATATTAAATATATTAATATTAATATAACTTTATAAAAATAATATATTTAACTTAAATGGGTGGGTCTGGGCTTCGGATTTTATGGTGTTAACCGAGTAGCCCATAGCTCTATAGATTGATCGACATCTTTTGCTTATTTTTCTCACAGAATAACATAAATTCTGTGAACTGTTCAAAATGATTCTAGTGGACTTGAATAAATCCCAGGATGAAGTTAGAACCAGCTTTATAACTTCTAATTTTAGGGGCTTCATTTTTAATTATACGACTTATCTAAATCTGCGTCTACATAATAAAGCATAGTTCTTTTAGCGACCAATCAAGGTAATTTAATTTGGCTGTTTATCCAGATAGATTTATGACCATTCTTGCTTGACCCTTAGCAATTTCTGTTCCCTGTTCAGTAGAGCCATTAAGTTTCTGTATTTCCTACAGAAATCCTGGATGCTTTTAGACGCTGAAGTTGTGATCCTAGGACTGAAGAGATGATGTGCTGTTCTTTATAATGTAATAGAATGTTCTCTAGCTGAACTTATCTGAGGATAATTTTATTCAAATAGTTAATAAAAAGATGACCCTTAACAACCTGTGCCTGCACCTGCTTGACAGCTTAAGCCTTCAGTTTGAGAAAAGTCAGCAACTCTGGATCCTTGAAAACATTATCGGGTGCTGGAGGCGTAAGGACATAGTGGCTTAACAGAGATTCAATTAATGCCACATTTCATTATTTTGACCAAAATATAAACAAGTAATGATATTCTGAAAGTATGTTAGCAAAACTATCATATCCATTGACTTTATGAGAAGTAGCGGAATAATACATTTTCTCAATTCAATCTTTCCCGCTGCTCAAACAGTTCTAAGTTACTCTAATTGTGCAAAGAAAATGAAAACATTATCCTAAATGGCCTCCTCGGTGGCTAAATAAGATCATAATGTTAGAGGAACGAGTTACATAAAAAGGGTATTTAGGGGAGGCTCCACTAATCTCTTAGTTTACTTCTTCCTCTTCTTTGGAGGCTGGAGGGCTTCCTCATCTTCATCTTCCTCATCCTCATCTTCGTTTTCTACTCCTTCAACATTGTCCTCGTCCTCTTCTCCACCATCCTCTTCCTCATCATCATCCTCATCCTCATCATCATCATCTTCATCATCGTCATCCTCATCCTCTGGGTCTTCACCATCCTCTTCGTCGTCTTCTTCTTCTCCATTCTGTTCTGCTCCACCTCCTGGTCCCTTCTTTGGGTTATTCTTGTTGCTGTTAGGATTGTTGCCGTAGTCCCCACCTTCTTCAGAGGACAGGTCCTCTTCACCTCCTCCAAAGTCACCATCCCCATCATCATCATCTTCCCTGTCATCTTCATTGCCATCTTCCCCATTAGCATCCTCTGGCTTAGGCTGGTTTTGTGCATGGTCTCCCTTGACTCTAGGTTTATTAGTCAGCAGCAACCCAAAGGAGTTCTGAAACCAATGTCAAGGGGATACATTCAGTGTACAGGTCAAGCTTACATAAGCAATAAAACTGAAGCTTTTTGAAGCAACAAAATAAAAAGCTATGTAAGATGACAATACAGATTGCCAAGGCTCTTGGTTACAAAATAATCATCACTTGCGGATTTACTGGTAGTGCAATTTTCAAAACTCAGACTGCATAATCAATTCGATTTTTCATTCTCCTATTGGTAAGTATCTTTCTTTATTATTTACTGCCAGGTATCAGACTCTGCTTCCTTTACAGGCTAGGAAAAACAATTAATCAAAGAAGCTTCATGAGTATGGGATTCTATTTCTATCCTATGTACAACCGAATCAAAGAAGCTTTACGAAAACTTAACTGTTGTACTTTGAAAGCAAAGTTAAGAGCATCAATCCTTGTAAGCATCTTGGAACAGAGATTTGCAAAGAGGGGCAGCAACAATGGGAATAATTTTTTTTTCTGTTTCCTGATGCTTAGAAGCAAATGACATGACACCTCAACTTTGGGAAATATGCTTTCTTCCTACAGGCAAGAAGAATTGGACTCCTCCATTTTTGTCCCTTTGGAACCCAAGTCATATCCAACAGTTTCACAGTGTACAAGAATAAAATCTCCAGAGAACTTGGCTGTCTGTGTTATATACCCTGATCCTGTAAGAAATTTTCCGTCGAGCCTACCCGCTCATTAAATGTTTTTTTCTAACCAAAATACCTTCATCCAGTCTAGCGTGATTACTAAATCATTCATAATTTCAGTTTCAGACATGGTGTGACGTGTCGGCCTATGATTTGTCAAGGATATTATCCAATGGAATATTCGATTCCGTAACAAGAAGTTTGACTTTTTATGTTTAAAACAAGACAAGACAAGAAGATTTTATACAAATAACTATATTCCACGTGCGACAAGTCGGAAACTCAAATCTCAAGCTACCCCCGAACAACCACAGGTAATGCTTCTCTTTTCTCTGCTCCCCATCGCGTACGTTAGCAAAATAAACAATCAAAAAGACACCAATAGGAGAACCGCCCATGTCAGTCACCCCCAACCACCCCAAAGAAAATCTATTAGGGATCCTAGGTCGCCAAAAAAAAAATCAATAGCAGCGCATCTTGGCAGGAATCTAATGCAAAACAACAAGGAAAATGCAAATTGTTCATTGGTGAAATCAATACTCTAACAAAGAAAAGCGAAAAACAATGGAAACTAAACAAAAAGAAAAAAGAAAAGAAGAGAGAGAAAGAAACAGGCGAGCTGCCCATTGACAAAAACACCTTACCATGAGAAAGCCCCACAACGGCGCATTTTAGCACTAATCGGAAGCAAAACAGACAAAAGCGCAGCGAAAAATAGCAAGTCACTAAAGAAAAAGATAAACTTTAAACAAGACAAAAAAGGGCAGAGCAAAAGAGGCGAGCAACCAATGAAAAGGCGCAAAAAAGAGGTTTTTACGGCGCAAGATAGCATGTAAGGTAGAAGCTATAAAAAGACAAAATGGAAAAGTACTAAAAAAAGGGAAAGCAAAGTTTATTAGTATTAGTGTTACCAGCGCCAAAAGGTGGGTTTTCACCAGAGCCGACAAGAACATCGTAGCTAGAGTTTCACCGGCGCATGTTAGCGCGGCGAAACTAACCGTAACTGCCATTGAACCGGGGTCAGCCTCCATTTTCACGGCCAGCGATAATTCTAAAAAATATATTAAAAAATAACCTGCACAGAAAATAAGCTGTACCGTTAGATCTGTACTGAAGCTGTGTCAGCCGTTAGATCTGTCACCTTACTTGCATAGAGAACAATACGGAACATAACTTATCAAAAAAAGAAAGAAAAACATAAAATTTTAAAAATTATGAAAATAAAGAATTTGTTACGTTAGTAGGCAAAGAGTTGAAAACAACGAGGAAATAGCGGGAATTATACTAAAAAGAAAATATAATTTTTTTTAAAAGAAAGGACAGTTTTTTTTAGAAGAAAAAGACAATAAACCACTTTCAGTTACGAGCAAAACTCGCCGGTCGAAGTGGTTTTTTCGGTAAAAAGAAGGTTTTTTTATGGCTAAATCAGTATGACTGAAAACAATTAAAGTTAAAAAGAATCGGAAACGTTACGAAATGTGGAATTTGAACAGAAAAGAAGGGAATTAGGAGCAGGGGGAAAGTAAAGGAAGGAAACGTACCGGGAAACGGAGATCAGAGGGAGGAGAGAGTAGATCTGAGGATTTGAAGGGCTAAAAGCAAAGGAAACGAGCAAAATGAGAGGCGTTCATTGTGGACCGTCCGATCGTCATCAAGGAAACCTGAGAGGGAGAAAAGATATAGAGAGAATAATCACGCAGAAGCAAGGAGAGAGAGAGAGATTACTGGGGAGTGACTGCCCGTAATTTTTCCCAGTCAGGAATCGGGCAGGACGGGCAGCGTCCTCATCACGTAAAAAGATCGAGGGTTCGGGGCTGCCCGGGACTGCAAGTAAGGACAAGTGTTTTGGGTTTCAGAGTTATTTATTAAGGTAAAATACTGTTTAATTAATTTAAAATTGTTTTTAGCTCTTTCTTTCTTTTTTCTTTTTTTTTTTGCTCTTTGAGCCTTGTTAATATTTAATTAATTAAAAAATTCGACTTTTTTGTTTAAACTCTCTCGCGTGTCCTTTCCTCCCTGGTTTTGGTTAGTTTAAAGGCGGTAACTTACTAACTTTACTTAAAACTTTAACTTTATAAAAGAAATTAGTAAATTTGAAGTTGTAATTGCTAAATAAGGGTGTTTGGCATCAATTTTAATTAAAATTAAAAGACATATTCATTCGACATGAGGCATTTTAAGCAAAGGCTTTTGCACCTCAATCACATGATTAGAATATTGATCAAAAGAATAATGGAGTGATTATCTTTTGAGTTTTGACTACTTTAGGAAGTGTGTGGGGATCTTATTTTTATGTTAAATTATTTTATTACCTTTTGGAAAAGGTTTAATTTATTCCAACTCATTATTAGAGTCAGTGCACCACATGTATTATCATATATATGCTTAAATGATAAGGAATTTAGGAACAAGATTTCTTCGGCATTTGAGTGGCAGCCAAAAATTCTTATTTTAATAAAATATTCTTTTCAAGTGGGTGGGGCAGGGGTCGGGTGAAGATGATAATTGGGCCGGAGAAGGCTCTAGTAACAGTCCAAGTCCTCATATTTTTCCTCTTGAGACTTGGGCCCAATGTAGTAATTCTAGAGTCAAAGTCAAGGAATTTGTTATTGATTTGGGATAAATACTAATTTTACCAACAAATTCATACTCAAATTTAATTTCTCATTTCTTCAAAAAATAAAATATATTTCCCACACCATTTAAGTTGGTTCAATTACATTTTTACCCAGAAAAAAGAATTGGCTCTTAAGATATTGTATCCAACTATTATTAAGAGTTAAAAAAAAGTCAAACTTACATGTAAAAACAAATAAAAGGTCAAAAAAGCTTTGCTTGAGAAAAAAAAAACCTTTTTTTGGCCGACTACTTAATATTAAAATTGAACAAGAATGATTTTATAATGTGGTCGGAAAAAAGAAAATAAAATTGGGCTTGTGCAAATGGGTCGTTCGTTAAATGGAAGGGATAGAGTCTCTCCAGTCTCCGTCATAAAGGGTGGGTTTTGCCTTAAATTAATAAATACCTCACCCGATCTAACCTACCATGATTTGGTTCAAATCAATTCAATTGTAGAGTGTTTTTCTTTATATTTTAGTACTTTGAAAATTTCTTTGTTAGTTTAATACAACATACAAAGTTTCAAAACCAGCTAATTTTGTCTATCCTCCCAATCAAGCCAATGAGATTTCCCCGTATCCAAATCCAACAAACTTAGATTTCCTTGTTTAATTAATTTCTTTTATAAATATATACTTTTTTCCAAGAGACTAAAATATCTTATTGGACTTTTCATTTCTCAATGTCTGCAAATGTCTTTGGACTTCGGACTTGGGAAGTAGAATCAGAAAGGTTAGGGCCTAGGGCACAGCTTGAACAAGTTGGACTAAGACCAGCCCAAACTCACCTAGTCCAATAATGTCATCCTTTTTCTTATTATCAATATTAAGCCAAGCCCACGTGGAAAATGATCTTGATTCGAAAATCAAGAGACCAAAACCACCGCTTGCCATGTATAATAACTCACCAAACACCGCTGATCAGCATCTCAATTGACTGTTACAAGTAAGCTTCTGGGTTCAACCCTAGCCTCCCGATCAATGTTATCGGAAGATTTCTTCTTGGCCGAGACAAACAGAGCAATTTTCTAGCCCATGTTCATTGCAAAAGACAGCTGCAATAATTGTTGCTTTGATCTTTTACTGGAACTCCAATGATTGAACTAATAACTGGTTCAAGTCATTATTATCCCCATCAAAATCATAGTTCCTTGTGATGTTTGAACCCCTATCGATATCCTACTTTGCGTGGAAGTTGCTTCCCACCCCAACAACACTCCATAAAAAATAAGAAGAAAAAAAAAAAAAAGTAGTCTTGCTAAGCCTAAGTCTGCATGGTCTTTCGGCCCTCGGCTTTTCCATCTGTTTAGATAAGCATTACGATATAAAAAAAGGGTTTCGTTTACCAACAATTTGTTGATAGTTTATTCGAGAAGTGAACTATAAAGGAGAAAAGAAAGTTAAACATGAGGAACCCAAAACCATTTAAAAAACAAACTATAAATTAAAACTTTACACCTAATGTGGATAAGTGGGATCTGTTTTTTCTCCATGGATTTGTACTTTACTTTGTGAAACCGTATCATGTTTGGTGACTGACAAGAAAGCTAGCTTTTTAGGTTACAATTTCGGCTGCAAAAGCTTATATAAAGGTTACGTCTGCGTCTCGAACAATACCACTTCATGAGTACTCCTCATCTTTCCAGTATTAAGTAAGAATAAGGTGAGTATGTAAGTGAAGAAATAAAATTATAGAATTTTTTTTATATGAAGAAAAATTTTATTGAATTTGTTTAAAATAACATTTTAGGTCATTGGACACCTAAAGAGTCTGCTAGTAATAAATAAAAAATATTTACAAAGAAAACATCATAAACTTGTGATTTTATGTTCAAATTATTATAATGAGTGACCGTTCAATCGGTACATTGATTAGTTTCACGATATATGTGAGATAAGTGACATTTCTATTTCTTGTTAAATAACTGTCTACTTGATTGTAATAACTGGATATTTGACTCTAAATTGTTTTTCTTGTTTTATATTTTTTGCACTGTTAGGAGCAAATCTGTTTTCACTTATACTTTCCTATAACATTTAGACCAACATATCTCCAATCCATGATAAATTGTTCAAAGTTTTGCAATTAGAGAGAAAGAAATACCAATCTTGTAGGTGAATCCTATCAACCACGCACCAAAACTATCTCTAACAAATCCACCTGCTGCCGCTAATCCCAGTTGCCCTTTAGCACTTCCATCTATAATTAATTTAACCAAGGATTTTATGGATTTCTTCCGGCTAATCAAAGACTCATGCTTTACCTTTTTCTGTTCACATTGAAAACCATCCCAAGCTTCTTACAAACTTCAATAATGTTTCACATTCAGGTTATTTAGATATATCTTTTTAAATGTTTTTAACATTTTATTTGTAAACTTAGTTTCAAATGTGTGTATTTTTTTTAAATCGATAAACAAAATTGAGTCATATAAAATAAAAAATTGAATTATAATCTTACTTTGAGTCACAAGCATAATTAAAGTTATAAAAAAATTAATTATCTGAAATTTTAGTTGAATAATTAGAATATTTTTTAACACATATATAGAAGCCCATTATTGGATTTTTTTAATTTATATAATAAAAAATAAAACTCACCTATCTCATGAATCATAATCTGAATTTTCAAAATTAGACCCGAAAAACTCATGTTCAAATTTTAATTTTCGTTCATTTAGGTGTTCCTTAGGAACTAATCATTGATCTAATAAAGCATATAGCCTTTTGTTTCTCCTTAAACCCTTTATTTTTGGGTGTACATAGGATTCATTTAAATTCCATACAATTCTTATGTCCAAAATTTTCTCTATAAAGATTATTTTGAACTAACATATGTGCCGCAATACATGTAGTAGTAATTTATTTATTGGTGTGTGTGACTATATATCGAGAGCAATGTGCATGGCATAGATATTTAAGTGCAATTAGACTTTGAATATTATTGTCAATCATCCAAAGGCTCATCGCTGGTTATTTTCAAAACCTTTTAGAACATGAAGAAGGATGTTACTTGTACTATACCTCAGTGAGTTTAGGGTTGAAAGAAATTAGTTGGGAGATACTGGTTTCCAATATTATTGTAATAGTAGATAGAAATGTCGTAATGTGATCATCATTCCACGAAGAGACTATTAATAAATTCCAAAATAATGCTGCATGACGTGAAGGATGATTGTAGGGGGTTGCAAAATCGAACATAAAAAAAAGCAAATGATAGATTAGCTTAGTGTATGGCCAACAGTAGCCATCAAACTCTCCTTTTCTTCTAATTGTATCCTAAACCACATCATTATTAATTCTAAAACACTTGTCCTAATTTTATTCGTATTATTTAAGCAAATGCATTCCTCTCTCTCCACCCGAGCATATGACTCGTTAGTGCATGATCCATTGTCTAAAGAATAGAATTCAAATTCTCTTTTTCTCAATTAAAAAAAAAAAAACGCATTCCACTTCTTTTTTGAAAATAGTATTAAAAAAACATCATTATAATTCAAAATTATTTAGTGTTTGGATGAAAAATTACCAATTGAATCAATTTTCTATTAATCATTTGACTTTCCATTTTCTGTTTCCTTTTCAAACAGTTAAATGAAGTTATTGGTTTTGATGTATAATTTTTTTCCACTTGGAGCAGCTGACACCTCATTTTCAACCAAAGGAATTTGTAATGGGAGTGTGATCAGTTGAGAATCTAAAAAATTTCTTTTATGATTGTTTTTTTTAATTTTATTTTTGGGGTGATTGAATCTTCGAAATTGTGACGCCAACACAACCCATTCTTAGTGGCAAGCCACTTTACATTGCACTTGAGAATAACACCACAAATAGGAAAAGGCAAGTGTTTGCGTGACGTATTCTTCTCTTTGTTCAAACAACTACACAGAGAATATGAAAAGGAAAATCACTAAGGAATCCGCCAACCATTAGAGGGCACCACCCAACCATCATTGCGACCTTTACACACATCATTGCCACCCACACCTAAATATACGTATACAATTATTTAAACTTATCCTCCTCCCTTCAACCATTTCAATCTTTTCTCCTCCTACTAGATCATCCATACTAGATAGATTATTTATTCTTTTAAATTTAGCCATTTTCATGCATGCTTGACCTATTGTTGCTCTTTCTAAATATTAATTGGTCCTTTAATATAAAGCTTTGGAAATGTCTCCCAAAAAGTTGCTAACCCCCAATCAATAAATACTATATATTATTGGAAAAAAGGAAGGGTGAGCGAAGAAACAATATTCAATTCTCTTGGAAGTTTTCCTTTTCTTTCTATATCAAGTGCAATTTTGAAGAATGATTTCAATCTAACTTTTTAAGTAAAACATATACACTTACTATTGAGTCAAAATATTCAAAAATGTTAATTAAAATGATTTTTTATTTATAAATTTTTAAATATTTCATGATCATATATATGAACCGACAATCATCATCACATCCCAATTGATATTAAATAATATTGTAATCACAGATGTTATAAAACTTTATATAATATGCGTTAGTTGTGTAGTTCAATGTCACCATGCATGTTAATTTGTGTGTATATGCATGGGATGGAAGAAGTTGTTGGAAAAGCTTTGTGCTAAACATATGAGAGCTGGCTGACTACTACTGTTTTTGTAGTGTTGCTAATTAGTGCATGTGGAATCATAGGTATCGTAGCTAATTAGAATGGCATTGAATGTCATTTCCAGAACTAATACCATGAAAAAATGGGAGCCGAATTGTCCTAACAATGGAGGCAACAAATTAAAGCAACTGGGGTTGGGGGACCTTTGATATTTTGTTATAAGTCAAGACTCAAGAGATAGGTAGATATGGATGAAAGCAAAAGTGAGCTCAAAATTCTCACGAAGCTTCTATTCTAATGTATAAATGAAGTGGGTTTACTATAAATTAATGCCCTAAGGCAACTTGCACATTTAACAAACTTGCTTATCAAAATGGTATAGATTCGGATTTTGTCTATACCCTACTGCCTAACTTAAAGTAATTCATCTTTAATGTCTCATTCTTCCATTTTTCCAAATTAAATGGAATGATTTGTTTTTTGATACATGTGATTTTATAAAATAATTTTCTCAATTTTAAATTTTAATTATCTGTATATCATGATATAGTCTTGAATAGTGATATTTTTGAATAATATTAATCATATGTATGTTTAAGTTGACGGATTTTTTCTCCTCAATTTATAACAACAGTGTTTTTTTAACGGGAAGATTTGATCCTTAAATTTTAAAACGTTTAATAATTTTGACTTGAACTAATAAAGAGACTATTAATTAGTTTGTTTTCTAATTAGAGTTTTGATATCTTAAAAAATTTAAGCATTTTGATATGAAGAAAAGCATGCGCAGGAGGATAACTAAACATCCAATTATAACTGGTTTTGTCTTCTAAAATCAACCCAACAACAAACTTGATCTGATTAAAGAAGAAAACATATAGAAAGAGAAAAAGGGGATAAAGGAGTATCACAATAAATAAAACTATTTAAGGGACAAGTTGGATGTGTTGAGATCAGCTTTGTCCCCTGTAATAAGTGAAGAGGCAATGAGAAGAAGGGTCATGATTAGGTTAGATCACTAAACTTTCAATTAAATCAAGAAAAAAACATACATACATATATATATATATATATATATATATATATACATATAAAATTTTGTCCATAACTAGCAAACTTGGCTTACGGATTGGGATTAGTCTCCACTAAGGGATTTGTTCTTTCTAATTCTTTATTATTTAATAAAGGTTTTGGATACGGGATACCTAATATTTAACTCAAGGGGTACGGATAGTGGCTTAAACAAACTATTGCCCACTATTGTCATCTGGTGAAGTGTGTTACTGTTATTATTGGCAACACCACTGTTTTTATAACAAATCCAACATCAAGATTGTCTGTAAACCATATACTTTTCTATGTAAATAAATAGTACCTTATTCTATAATTTTAAATTGATTTTTTGCATGCATTTTTTTTTATTTTACAACATATTATTATTTTAAACACCATTGCACTAAATAGAGTTAAAGATTGAATTATTTACACTCGAAACCCTCTTGGGTTTTTTTTTTTTCCATGCAATACTATATGCTTGAGCAATGGTCATGGTCAAAAGTATAGCTTATTTATTGCTTTATCCCCATAGTACATAATTGCTTAAAAATATCTTATTTTTATCATTCTACAAAAAATATTGTGTTAATCAATAAGTTGATAGCGAGAAGAAAAGAAAGGACATTGCTTTTTGAATTAAAATTTTTGTCTATTCTAAACAATTAACTTTTTGTACTAATTCTAGGCCTTTAATTTGATTAGAAATGGACAACATTCAGATCTCAATTCCTGTTCATGTCAAAATGTTATCGACTTTCTCAATGTGACATAACATCAAAAACGGTACATGATGATATATAAAACTCCTTTATAGTACAAAGCAAAAGGAGAAATTCAGAATCTTAGAAAAGTTGAGACTTGACACAAATCAAACCAGAAAGAAGATTTAAAGAAGAACCCAATGCTTTTATAAGTCAAGGTATATATGGTAACTGGAAAGATTTTTTTTTTCCCCGATTCAGAACCTTTAATTTTTTAAAAATTTCAATTCACCCCTTATAGAATCTCCGTGTTTCAAATAAACCCCAAAACGGTAGTAAATCCTCAGTGTTCTCTTTTGCTCCTTTTCACGAACTCAAAAAGTCAAAAGTGTCGAAAGTAACCCCAATCCTATGGCCGTTACCAGGCCACTACCATAAGAATAAAAACAAAAAGTTCAAGAGCCATAAACTCCACGCGCTTGAAATGGCGGGTTAGCCGCGCGTCGACTCATTCTCCCGCGGAACGCATTGGCCGTTCGTCTTCTCCTCTCCCCTCCCAAGTTCTTAAACAGCGCTTGAGTTCACGCTCCCCTTGCATCAACTTCCTCAAAGACAAAATTTTCCGCCGGAAAGATGACGTGAGGTAGCACGCAAGAAGGGTGTGCGTAGGTTAAGGAGGGAAAACTGCGTAGGATAAGAATCCACCTGGTGCGCATATTAGATGTAGTGGAAAGAAATGAATATACAAATAGTTTTTTTTTGGATTTAAAAAAAAATTTGAAAATTTGTTAATGGTAAAGCTGTTGACTCACTGTAGATCACGATAACTCAAAGACAAATACAAGTAATAATTAAAAATTAAAAGATTATACGAAAGAATACAAAATAGTAGCAGATCAAATTGTAGTGATAAGTAAAAAATTTATAAAAATGAAATAAAAAAATGGGGAACAGTTTGAAGGGGGGTTTTAAGGTGTGACGTTCCAAGTAGGATCGTTGTTGGGAATGATGGGACTGAGGGGTTTGGGAGAGAAGAAGGAGGCATTGCTTGTTGGATTTCAACTGGGTTTTTTTGCTGCTTCTGCTTTTTGCTGTTTTGGGACGCTCAAATTTTAGCGGGAAACTTGTTCTAACGGACCCTTTAAACGAAAGGTTGGTTCTTTTTTCTATTTTGAATTTTTTTTGGTGGGTATTTGGTTGCCCGAAAGCAAGGGAAACCAATAGAAAACATACTCAAATAACTTAACTTTGAAGCTGGTTAAGTTGTTAAACACGAAGGATTTTTTCTTCTTTTTCAAATATTGTTGTTCTTTGAATTCAAAGTTGTTTTGGTAATTTGAGTTTGGAAACTTTTGTTTTTGGAGTTAAGAAAATGGATTTTCTGGTGAAACAAGATATCGGGTTGGTTGTCTGTTTTCCTCCTTGTGGCAGTATTTTGTTTTTGGTCTAATTTGATTGGTTCTGGGTTTAGCATTAAATTCTTATTTATACATCTTTTGCTCTTGTTTCTCTATCTTGGATGAAATGCTTTTGGTCTTTTTTCTTTTCTTTTCTTTGAACTGTTTTGAATTTGACTCAGACGTGAAAACAGATGGAATAGATACTGATTAGGATTACAATGTTTTCTTTCATATTGGATTTAGGGAGTTTGATTGTTTTCTGTTTATTTGATACTATCGAAAGTCTCAAGTAGATGTTTTCAAATCCTCTTTATCCAGATTCATAGGCATAGCTCTTTTTCTAGTATTATTACTATTTTCGGTTTTAAATCTTCTTCTCTGTTCAGTTGACCAGTGGCGATTTGAGGAGGACCTTTAATTGTTTCAGTGAAATCCATTCTAATTCTGACCTGAAGAAACTGTTTTTCTGCAAGTTTTGTTGAATGGTTTGTGCATATTAGGAAAGGTCCTATGGAAGAATATCTTGGTAGTTTTGATGGTAATGAAGAATTTTGGGAGTACAAATAGGTCCACCATGAACACATGAGACAAGTGAATAGTGAGCTCCAATAATGGCAAGAGTTGACAGCTTAAGACTGAGCTGGATAGAGGAGGATGATATGAAAAGTAGGATGTCATGATTGGTGTTCAATCTTTTCTAAACACTTGGATCAAATTCAAGTTCATTTTGTTTTGTTAATTGCCCTTCAGTGGAATCATCAACAATATGGGCTCTTGAAGTTAAAAAAATGTCACTGTTGTTCCTTCCGTCACTGTTCACAGTAATATGTGACTGTGCACTTCATTCACTGAATGTTGCTGATGCCAATGCCTCCATATATTTGTCTTCCTTAATTGCTAAGCTTCTATAATGTGCGTATGAAACAGGCTAACTGCAGTTTCATGGTATTAAGTATCTTAAAAGGTTATAATGAAGTTACTTTCCACCAACAAGTAGTGACAAAACTGAATTGGACTAGAGAGGGAATGTAAACTTTAGCTTTAGAATAGCAAAAGTAAGTCAAAGGGGGAAAGAGAAAGAAGAATAGACAAACCAGTATATATGGATGCACTATAGGCAGACAGGGAATGGTTATAAGGTAATAGAATTAGTTGCTTGCAGAAGTACCGGGATCGTGATTGTTGAGGCTTTTATAGGAGCTTGTAAATGATTCTTTTGAAGCTGAAACTGAAAGATCAAAATTTAGAATTAATACAATTCTTTTCTTTCTACTTTTGGGTATCTTTTACTTCCTTCTCATTGGTTCTGACAGTTAGAGCTATATATTTCTGGTTTACTCTTGCATTTGTTTTCCTCAAATACTAGCCAATAAAAATTTTTAATTCTGTGCTTGTTTGTGCCATGATAGTGATAAGGAATTTACTGTTATTATTTTCTTTCTATGATGCTTCTTCGATTCTTCAACATACTTCCATCGGGCATCCTAGAGTTCACGTGCCAAGTCCTTCATCCCGAATACTCATTCTATATTCTAGAGTTTGCGTGTGAAGTCCTTCATCCCGAATATATCTGTACCATAATGGGGCTATGTTTATCAAGCTTTGTTTGTAATTGTAATCTTCAAAATTGACCCTCTCTGTCTTTCTCTCCCTATTTTTGGTTCAGAGATCAAGTGTTTTGTTTTTAATCAAAGCTGACAATATGCATCGACTTTAGCAGTAGAAGTATGTCTAATTTTTCGAGTAAATAATTGGAGGGAAACTTTTCTTTGATGGAAGCCTTGATCCTTTTTATTTCTCTAATAAAACCAATAAAAATGGTTACTCGTGATTTAAATCGTAAAAAAAAAAATTTCATTTATTTTGCATGGGATTTGAATTGGAAACGTGCCTTTTTGTGCATAAGTAAATATGGATTATTTTAGGGGAAAGAAATGCCCATGATCTCTCCTGGAATTCCTTTGTTTTGCTTTCTCACATAGCTAACTGGTTGTAGTGATCTAGTCATCAGCATGATGTTTAGGATTTAAAAGACATGACCAATTAATACTCACTTTGAATGTGGCTTTTCTTGCTTAGTTTATGTACTTAAAATTTATTTTCTTTAGTTTGGTCTGGTACAACATGCACTGAACCACATCACATATAGAAGTCCGTTATTTTCATTACTAGATTGTGTCTGCCACATGCTTTCTGTACTTTAGCCTTCCATATTAGCATAAACATCTTGAGTTACTGGTGGGGTGATTCTCAATTTAGAATGTCAGTTATCTGATTGGAGTGGTCTCATAATAACCTAAGAATTTGCCTGACAAAGAAAATATAAAATTTTCCATATATTCCATTAGTTTGTGCTGCATCTTTGTGAATTTTAGTATTTTGGAGTTTGTCAATTAAATTTATAATCATATTCTCTGTTGCTTGTCACTTGTTTGCTATTACAACTGTCCATCTCACTCTTAGAGCAAAGCTTATATGTGTCCATGTCTTGTTTCCTCCCAGACTCTAAAGCTTTCAAATGCCTCCCATATCAGTTTAATTATGCAAAATCTGCCTCCATCGTCATTTCAAGAATCATGAACTCTCCATCAACCCAGTTTGTACCTTCAAGAAGGATGGGTATCTATGAGCCTATCCACCAGATTGGCATGTGGGGAGAAAACTTTAAGAGTAATGGCAATCCAAATACATCTGCATCAGTAATTGTTGAAGTGGATAATAAGCTAGAGAATGAGGTGCAAAATGTGGAGATATTATTTTTTGTTTGGTAGTTAAACCACGTTTATCTGATTTTGGAGATAAGTAACCTTTGTTTTTTGAATTTTCCAGTCTGAGACTGCTTCACATGAAATGCTAGCTCCTTCTAACAAGTATGATCAAGAAGCAACTAAACCTATTGATAAGGTAAGTGTGAATTGGACATGATGCTGATTGTTTATTTCTTTTCTCATTTTTAATGGATATAAGTGTTTTTCTGGACCACTCTGTATGATATCAGATAGATTGTATATATTGGTTTGTTGAAAGATTCTCCTGTGGATTTTGAAAAATGGTACTACTTTGAGTTCTAGAGTTCTAGGATCCATTCCTGCTTCCCTGATTATCTCCTGGCTCATGCAGATTTTCAGCCATCCTTTGCACATTATCATTGCACATTCTTTATCTTGCAAACAAATAAGCACTTGTTTTGCCATCTTAGATTTGTATTATAGTTTTCTCCTTTTTCTTCCCTCTGAATCATGTTTGGTGCATGCTCACTTGTGTTTCCTGAAAGAGAAGTAGCTCCCATTGTTTACAATTCTTGTAGTTCTGAACTGCACACACTCAATGTGTGGAAGCTTTTAATCCTTTTAAGATGAGTCTTGAAAATGCAATTAAGGTGTTTTTCCATTAGTTCATGGTAAAGTCGTTGTTATCAGATGTTTTGTAACTTTCTAATGTTAGCATGAAGATATTTTTATTTTCCACTGGCTAATGAGGCCCTCCTATTTTGTTGATTTTGAGGCTTGTATGCAACTGTGTGTAGCTGAATGATGATCCAATTCTTCATGATTAACATGCATATTATCCGAACAATCTAATTTAAATGGAAATAATATGTGCACCTCAAAGCAGATCAATTTCATTAGCTGCTAAATTCATAGAATACGTGTCATATTAATTATTCTAAGTTTGTTGATGATCTGTTTGCCTTAAATAGGGGTCTCATCTGTTTGTGCGTTATACCTTTAATATCTACAGATACAAAGACGTCTTGCACAAAACCGTGAGGCTGCTCGTAAAAGTCGTTTGCGGAAAAAGGTAAGATGGATATGGATGTGGACTGAAACAGATGACCAGTAGGCCACAGGTCAGTTGTACTAACTTTATGTGTCATTGCCTTTCAGGCATATGTTCAACAGTTAGAAAATAGTCGTTTAAAGTTGATTCAATTGGAGCAAGAGCTTGAACGGGCAAGGCAACAGGTTTGGAGAAGATTGTTGTTATATCTTTTTTTTTTTCTATTTTGTGTCATTTTAAAATGTCTAAAGCTACTTAAGTAATAAACCTTCACTGCAGGGTCTTTACGTGGGAGGTGGATTAGAAGGTAGTCATCTTGGATTCTCTGGAGCAGTAAACTCAGGTTTGTTTGTCAAAATACTGGCAGTTATTGTTATTTCTTTTGAAATCGTTGCTTCAAATATTGCTTTGTCTTGTTAAAATTCTATAAGATTTTTTAGTTGTTTCAGTATCTGACATTTCAAAATGAATTAATGCATGTACTTTGAGACTTACAATTCATTTCTCATTCCTATTTTTATGTGTTTAGATTGATGTTGCACCTTCAGATTAGGTGTTAACCTTTCTGAAACAAGCTTGAATTTAGTAATAAAGAACTCTCTCATCCTGGCTCCTTAATACTTTTTTTTTTTTTTGAAATTATTGGAACACATTTTCAACACAAAGAATTATGCCCAAGTTGAAATCCTATAGTGCTAGTATTGTCCTGTGATATCCTCGTATTAGATACTTCTTATTTTCTATCTATTCTTTGTATTCGTGTCCCTCTAACAATTATATATTCCTAATGTGCTAAGTTTTCTATGAGCACCTCAAAGTATTACACCTCCTGGACCCTAGTGAAACCTATAAAATATGCTTTAAAAGAAACCAACATGAGCTGGCCATTTCTTGTCTTTTGAAAAAATCTATTTCAACTTTTCTTGAATTGTGGCTGACTTTATTTCATCATGTAAAACATCTCAACAGATAACACTTTGTTTATCCGAAGATGCAAGTTTTCCTAGAGAAGTTATGTATTGTATGTAAAGGACCCTAACTTCTTTTAGTGGTTAGTTTTGCACCTCTGGAGAGAATCTGCTTAAACTTTTGTCTTGTCATATTTCTTAAACCCACTTTCACTTTTGTTATATTGTGGCTGTCTTTATCTCTTCATGAGTGAGTAGTTTTTTTTCACAGGCGTCGATTTCAAACCTTACAACAAAAACTGTTTCAACTTTTCTCAGCTCATCTCATCTCTGGAGTGAACTGGGTTGTATAGGATCTACCTGTCTTTTGCAACCTCCTTTGACATGTAGTTGAAGATTATACAGCTTATTGCATAAATAAGCTATCAGAAACTACATTTTTTTGATCAAAACTAAGCTACATTTTAGTGCGCTATAATGGCATTTTAAATTCAGTTGAAATTGACAGTTGGTGTGTAATTGTCAGACGACCTTGAAAATTTTTGGTGTGGTATAAAGCTTCATTTACCACACTATGGCGTGTTAAATTTGATCTTTCTGCAATAATTCCCTGCAGTGCCTTTTTCTTCTCATTACAAGTAAAGTTTTATTATTTAATGTTTCCAATGATTAGCCAATTTGAGGATTCTGCAGGGATTGCTGCATTTGAGATGGAATATGGACATTGGATGGAAGAACAAAACAGACAAATATGTGAACTGAGGACTGCTTTGAACGCCCATATAAGTGATGTAGAGCTTCGCATACTTGTGGAAAGTGGCATGAGCCACTATTTTGAACTTTTCCGCATGAAATCAACAGCTTCAAAGGCTGATGTTTTTTATGTGATGTCTGGTATGTGGAAAACATCAGCTGAGCGCTTTTTCTCATGGATTGGAGGATTTCGCCCTTCAGAACTTCTTAAGGTGATGCATATTTGTTCAATAACTGTAGACCATGCATTCCATTTTTTCATATAGGTCTTTTGAGGGGAGCTTATTGCAGAGGATCTAACCGCAAATTTTTTCTGCTGGCTGGCATTGCTGAAATTTTAAATGAACGACTATTTTGTTTTGACTTGTCTATAGATTGATTTATTCTCAAATAATGTCTATAAATGGATGCTTACATCATGTCTAACTTTAGGATTTTTTTCTCTTTCTTTTTAAAATAGATTTAAAGTTTTCTTTGATTATTTTTAGGTCTTAGAAGTTGTGGCAAAAATACTTGCTAAACAATCTATTCTCTCTGTTTGTTTTACTTTTTCTGCAGTTAATAGGTTTTTCTATCTTGTCTTTATCAATATAGAGCACTTCCTCTCTCCTTAATTGTTGGTATATTATAGAATTGCAATTTTATCTATCACTTACAAGGTGTTTAACATTGCTGTTAATATGACTCATCAAGGGGATATTGTGTTCTTCTGAATGCTTTTCTGTTGATCCAGAAAGATCTCTTCATGTTCTCTTGCAATCAATATTTCAGTTATTCTAAAAGAGGTTGCTGGGTTCCTATTAGAACAACACCCCCCCCTCCCCCGATGCATACATAATGCATATTGTACAATGATTTTCTATGCTCTGAACATGGCCAATGGTAACCCTAATCTGGGTTCTGTTTGGTCATTCCATCCACATGATTATAGCATCATTGAGCATATTGGTTAATCAATAATTGTTTAACAAAGTAGCTCTGTACTTCCATGCGCTTGAAAAGACATGATTTTTATTTTTCATTGGAATTCTGGTTCAAGTTCTATTGCTAAATGTAGAATGGTATTTATTTGTGATTATATGTTGATGACAGGTGCTCGTGACTCAGCTAGACCCCTTGACAGAACAGCAATTTTTGGAAGTTTGTAACCTGAAACAATCATGTCAGCAGGCTGAAGATGCCCTTTCACAAGGTATGGAGAAACTCCAGGAAACTGTGTCTGCGACTGTAGCAGCTGGTCAACTGGGTGAAGGTAGTTACATTCCTCAGGTGGCTACTGCAATGGAGAAGTTAGAAGCTCTAGTCAGCTTTGTGAACCAGGTAATCGTTTCATCTTCCCATGGTGCCATACTTGGGTTTATTCCAATAACTTTTCTCAAATCAGTTTTTCCTCTGGGTTTTCTTTTTCTTTTCATAGTCGATCTGTTTTACCCATCAATTGGTCTTTATCCATCCGTTTGAACTGAAATTATAATTTTTAATCATCTTTTTTTCCTTTTGCATTTCAAAATGATATCTAACAATATATGCCACTCCCATTATGACGGCTATTATTGGTTTCATGATACCCTTGGAATTTTCAAATTATCTTATTCCAGAAAACCTAGGGTCCCGGAAGTGAAGGTCCCAAGCTGTGCAAGTCTTGTTCTGTCAATGGATTTATTGTTGTGAACTAGGTTGCTAACAACCATTTCAGTTCAATTTAGTGAAGGTAGTTGGAGTCACAAAGTATGAGCACAGCATGGTCCTATTTACTAAAATTGAGTTTAGGAGAATTTTTTGTACTAGAATCTAGGTAATAAAATTTATATTAATGTTTTAGAGGCAAAAGAAAAAGGCATCTTAGCGACATTTTCAAGTTTCAGCATGTTTGATATTTTTCTATATGCAGGCTGACCATCTTCGGCAGGAAACGCTGCAGCAGATGTCTCGCATCCTAACAACCCGCCAGGCAGCTCGAGGCTTACTTGCTTTGGGAGAATACTTCCAACGTCTTCGAGCTTTGAGTACACTATGGGCTACCCGTCCTCGTGAGCCTGCCTAGCCTTTCAATGCAAGAGCATGCATGATGGTAGATGATCACTACAAGAACCGCATTCCTGCATACAGAGGTGCCTCTTGGTGGATGTGATTATAAACATAATTAGCATCAATTTAAGCTGCCAACATTTTTCATGCAGCTTTCAGAAAGAACTGAGATTCTGAGATTTTGTACATATGAGTAGTTATTTTACCTAGGGGAAGTTTGTGGTTAAATCAATTTTCAATGCCGTGTTGTACATTATATATACTCTTGAAAGGATATATATAGGTTCTACATTTGAGTTATATACCAGTTGGAACTTTGATGTATACTTCTCTAGGGTGTTCTTTCTGTATCTTGAACATGGCCGATACATAATTGTGAAAAGTTGCTCATGTATTGGAATATTCAGAATATGTTTAATAAAGCTTCACTTAATATGAATTCTGCAGTTCATAAAATACTTCCAATCTGGAAAGCAAACAACTTTGTTTTTGATGTAGTGCTTGTTTGCAAGTTTGAAACAGATTCAGAAATTAATTTGTTAGACCACAAAAGCTGTAATTGGGTGTATCATTTGTGTTTTTAATCAGATGTTATGTTAATCTTTCACTATGGTTAGCTGTGATATATATCAATTGGAGAGCAATTTCTTGCTAGTTTATAGCAGATATATTGGGTGTGTTGATTTATAAGTAATTGTTTGCCTGTAAAATATATTTGAGTAGACTCACATCTTCTTGTTCATGTTACTCAAAGATACCAAGTGTTTCCAAATGGATCAAAAGAGGGAATTGTAGTTGCGAATGTGGGCAAGCAAACAGCAGAAAAAGAAAAAAAAAACAAAAAGGAAAAATTCTACATAACTAGAGATTTTTAGTGTCAAATGTAAGCATTTGAAAAATTTTGTGAAGTCCACTAGTCTCCCAAATGGTCAAATTTTGTTAATGTTGACCTCTTTCATTTTTCTTTCCCCCAAATGTCTTTGTTTTTTGTTCTTTTCAGCAGTAATCACTGCACGCGCGAACGCAAACACAACAAAAGTAGAGACGTAATCCACATGACGAATATTCTATATGCAAGATTATTTCTTCTCTTTGTAGGCATTTACTGACCCAAGAGCAGAGAAAACAGAAACGAGTCCCAGTTGCATTTTTCTCCTGATAATAGCAAGTTCACACTGAACACTACTTGCCTCTTTGTTTCCCCTGTTTAGAATGTTACATTTTGCCAAGAATGGCAAGTTTTTTGTTCACTGGAAGATGCAATCTAATATAATAATCTTCTTGGCAATGCATTTGTAGAAAGAAGGATGAAATTTTCATATCAACACATCAAAATGCAAGGAAATATAGTTTATATTACTAAGAGAAGATCGTGTTGGATTTTGATACCAAAGGATCTTTTTGCTCTTGACGGATTCATCCTCACAGCTTTGATACTGCATAATCCAAAGCATCAACAAGAAAATCTGCACAAATACAAAATAACATGCAACAATATTGTGCCATATAAAATTTTAAAAAGAAAGACTGAGAAACCAAATTGTTGGGGATGTCTCCCATGATTAAGTTATTTAATTAAATACAGTAAGAGAATGAAGTACCAGCGTCATCTTTGGTAAAACACATTGGCGGCTTTATTCTGAAAACATTTCCATGTAGTCCACCTTTCCCAAGTAGAACTCCAAGTTCTTCAGTCAGAAAAGAGAATGGTTAGCGTAAAAACCCTTTGTTTTCTAAGTTTTTTTCTTTATTCAAGAGGTTGTGCCTTGATACCTCTCATTTTCTCAAATAGGATGGCAGTTTCTGCCTTGGCTGGTGTCTTCTCTTTCCTGTCAGTAACAAGTTCTACACCCACCATCAAGCCCCTACCTCTGACATCTCCAATGACTGAAAACAAAAAGGGCAATTAGTAAATAAGAATTTGATTATTTTGATAGCACCAATTTAAGACATTGTACAAGAACATCAACAAATCTAAAACTCAGCTAGAAGTCCTAAACACAAATTTTTAAACTACAAATTAAGGATCATTTTCATCTACAATTGAAAAATTTGCTGGTCAGTGCAATTCAAAATTGCAAAATATTGGTTGATTAAAAAATGTGCATGGGAAAATTAAATACTATATTTAGACACAGATACACTAAAAAAGAGCAGAGGTAAAAGGGGTCTTATAAGTGCCAAGTTGTAGAACAATTACTATCATGTCTGTCCTGTAGAGATCTCAAGCGCCCAATCAAGTGAGAACCAACATCAGCACAGTGTGCTTGACGCTTCTCCTTGTCTAGAACTTGAAGCACTGCAAGTCCACCAGCAGAACATACAGGATTCCCACCAAAAGTGTTAAACTGAAGTTTTTGAGCCATCGCATTTGCTATTTCTGGTGTTGTCACAACTGCTCCTAAAGGTAATCCATTGCCAATACCCTGGCAAATGGGATATGTTAAATGTAACAGGACGCTACCATTTCCAATAATAATAATAAAAGACAGCCAAACTAAATGAAACTTTCTCTTAAGAGAGAAATAGTAAAGAGGGACAGGGGTAGGCAGAGGCTCATAACACGTAAGGATGTATTATGTACCAATGTTCACAGAATTTAAAATTTCCAACAAAGTTTGATGATTAAGGACCTTTGCCATGGTAACTATGTCAGGAATGACACCTTGAGTCTCAAAACCCCAATAATGGCTTCCTGTGCGACCAAATCCAGTTTGCACTTCATCCGCAATGCAGACACCACCAGCCTTGTGTACAATGTCATAAACCTGTTTTAAATATCCTGGGGCCAGTTCAACTGCTCCTCCAACTCCCTAAAGTTAGTACAAATTTGAAACTTTTAGTATCTAGTTTTACAGCGATAAAAACACTAAAAAAACACCCGAAAGAGACAACTGTCTGTATTAACCTGAATGGTTTCTGCTATAAATCCAGCAACTTTTCCTGAAGTACCATAATCAATGTGATCTTGTACATCCTTGGCATAGCGAGTAGCATCAGAGCCAAAGACCCCATGAAAAGGATCTGGATTTACAACATGATGGATTTCTCCCTGCAAAGTGCCATAATAACATTCAGAAATCAGCAGTTTAGTTTAAATAATAGTATCTCTGGGAAAGAGCTATTAAATAGATGCAAAGGAAATTTATAATGATTGCATGGCTAAGATACTTAAAATGATCTGAGACATGTATTCAAGCCTTGTAAACTTAGGCTAGACATCCCCTTTTCACATAAATGCTGCTTCTTTATGAGTGGTAGTCCCCAGGAAAACCACACAAAATGAAGCATATAAGAATAAATTCAAACCGTATTGTACTTTTAGAATAAGTTAAAACTTCAGTGCGGGAGGATGCATGTTAATTACAACAGCACAATCTAGTCCTTTACTTTCCCAAGAGTGAGAGGGAAAACTGTCATTTAACTCCAATATTTCTAATACTCTGCAGCAGAGATCCCAGTTATCTGTTGATATTTCAATTTCTTAATCTTTATGGAACATATTTTTAGCAATGTTGGTTAAGTGCAAAAGGGATCCACAAATCCACACACCTAAATGCCTTTATGGAAGAAATCAGGAATTTGCTTTTATTTCTGGAAAAAGAGTTATAAAGATAGTAGCTTGCATCAAATTGCCTAACAGATACCTAATAGTTATTTTAGGTTTCAAAAGAAAGGAAGACCTTTTACTTGAAGCCTAGAGTTACAATATCTGCTCCAAACTTGGCCTAGTCTGATCAAAATTTCTAGTTTAATCTTGATTGTAAAAGAATAGTTTTGCAGTTTGTTTCGAACGTTGTCGATGAAAAGCACAGGATAAAATTATTCTAATTCCATGTTTAGCTGTCACTGGTTACTTGGAGAGGAGGATAGGATGACACATGGATTACTCAATCCCATTAAAAAGAAAAGGATTAGTCAATTCCATGGATAAGATTGTGAGCTGGATACCAACCAATAAACATTGTTTCAGTGTTTCCCATTTTAGGCTTAAAATAGTAATTTTTTTTTTTACAAAAAAAAAAGATGTATTTAGTATACAATGATATAAAAATGGGCTAGTATGACAATGAGAAAAATTGGTCTCCTAGTCATGCCTGCATCAAACATATCATGTGATGAAAGATAACACATCTTACTTTTAGTTTGCATGCACCAAACACCTAATTTTATCTACGTTCTTATCTTGTCTGATATTATGCTCTACAACTTACAGCATACCCAACCAACACTTCAACATCATAGTGAGCTAACAAGCAATTCAAACAATGGGACACTGGAATCATCTAACAACTGAACAAGCCTACCAGAAGAAGCAAAAGTTAAAGAATAAGTTGAATGGGCACTAAAACAGCAAATTTAGTTTTGACCAGGAATTTGTGACTTTGAGTTGTAAACCAATTAAGAATAGCACGACATGTAAAAGAATTATCCAATACATGATTGGCCTTACAAACCTCTGGTATTGGGTACTTCCAAGTGTTTAGAGCTGTGAGTCCAATGGTATTAGAACTTCCACCGTGATAAGCATTTCTCAAGGAAATCATACCAAGATTACCAGTGTACAGTCTGGCCATCAGCATGGCTAACTCATTTGCTTCGCTCCCGGAATTAACAAAATACACCACCTGCAAAGAAGGTTCATATTGTTTGCATATGATTTTGTTGATGATTCACATTCATAAAACAACTCTTTCCAAGGCATTTTCGTAATCCATTAACCAAGCCTTTCTTTTCCTGTTCGTCTTGTGATAAATACCATTAGCCAAACATTCTATTTTAGCAATCAACAAATTAATAACAGTGGTTGAATTTCAAATTGCTTAACTTAAAATTAAGAAGGAACACATGAAAGTATTAGTGACCATGCTTTAACTAACGTTTTGCTCTAATAAATTTTGTAATACAAACAAAGTTTAATTAAAAATGATTAAATGACTTAAAATTGACGTCCATTCGAACATAATTAGTTTCATATTACTCCAAAATTATGATTTTGTTATAATAGCCCTTTTTCTTTTCTTTTTTTTTTTGACTTTTTCTTTAATCCAAAATTTTCTTTCACCCAAAACCTCTAAAGTTGAGTGAATCTTCAACAGAACAGGAAAAAAAATCATCAAAAAATTTAAAAACTGAAGAACTAAAATCAGCGAAAGAATAAGCTATCAACCTTGAGATTTCCAGGCATTTTGGAAGCCAAAGCCTCAGCAAAATCAGCAATCGCGTGATGGAGGTAAACAGTGGGAGCGTGCTGGAGAAGTTTACTTTGCTCCATTATAGCATTCAAAACCTCCGGATGGCAATGTCCACAGGACACCGTTACGATTCCGGCAAATGCATCCAAATATCTCCTCCCGTTTTCATCAAACAAATATTGCATTTTCCCTTCAACAATATTCAACTGAACACAAAAATTAAAAAATAAATAAATAAATAAATTGTTATGAATTATACAAAACAGAGAAATTACATAATCTGATAAGAAAACAAGAGTGAAATTTACGGGCTTTTGGTAGTAGTAGAAGAGTGAGGGCCCCAAAAACTTCTTCCTCTTTTCAAGGGTTTCATCTGCCGACGGTCCATTGTACGGTTTCGGTTGGTAATCGAACACTGGAAGCTGACGTGGCGCCTCATCGGATGCTGCAGCGGCGGCGGAAGAAGAAGAAGTAACCGTAGAGAAGGAACTGCAGGGAAAGAGTGTACGGTTACGGTTAAAGTTTAATTTTGCCTTGGCTTCTTCTACGGTTCTCCTCAAGATTCTTCTGTGCAGCATCGCCATGGCTTATTAAAAAAAATTCACAGATTCTCTCTTCAAAAAACAAAAAAAAAGATTGTGAGAAAACGGAACGGTGGAAATGAAACGAAGAGATTTATGAAGTGATTGGAGTGTGATTATGGGAATTTTGGCCAATCGCTGGCGTGGATTTTCTCATTTTTAAGCTTATCTTTGGAAATGCTGGGACTGTGCTGTCGTGGGCGTGAGTAGATTCCAACGCGATGATGACGAAGGATTCGGTTCTCGATTTGATTAGTGAAGCAACCATTTATTAGCGCCTAATTACGATGATTATGCCTTCTTAATCAATCCAATTACAGATAAAATAATGGGGTTTTTTGGGAATTCAGAATTCGCTTGGTACTATGCTTGACTGTTTTTGAGATTTGCATTTAAAATGTTTTGTATTCGTATTTAGGAAATACTTGAAATGGATTCGAGCTGGCCATGATTAATTTAAGGTGGACAGGACAAAAATAAATTAGGAGAATATTCTCAGGGGTCCCACCGACCAGACCACATTCAAACCTTTCGAAGAGATTTTTAACGAATCTGACACAGTGCCATATATTTTTGTATTTCAGCTGAATAACATGCAATATATTAAAGATTTTCCTTTGGTATTGTTAGTTATAATTGTTTACATGCGGCGAGTTATGTAGTAAAGTCATCATTTTTTACCTTATTATAAAATCTAATAATAAAGACCATATCATCTATAAGTTTAAATTGTAACCATAAATTTAAATTTAATAAAAAAATTGGTAAACCCATTTAATTAGGCAATAAAAAAAATAAAATTAAAAAAATTAAAAAGTCTATAAAGGTAAGGACTCTCTAATAAATAATAATAAAATTAAAAATAATTATTATTTAAAATGAAAATCAAAATAATTTTACATGAAATTATAAGAATTGATATAAAAATTTATAAAAATGAAATAAGTAAATTTTAAATTTTAACGTAAATATGTGAGAGTTAAAATAACATGTTAATTAAGTAAAAAAATAAAATTTTTATGGTAAAATAGTTTTACTTTTAAAGTTTTGATCAAAATTACATAAAAATTTATTAATTTTCAAAATGAACACTTCAGTTTAAAAAAATATTTTTCGCTGCACAAGTAAATTCAACCATTAATAAATTGTTAATGCGTTCTTTAGTTTGATGACATGGTAAAGATAAAAAGATAATTTTATCTTTAATTAATTTTTAAAATTACTATTGAATAATTTTATTAATTTTTTATTAATTAAAAAATTCCCATTTGGCGAGAACCGATCGATGCTCTACTTTCTTAGGGAGTTGGGGAGCATCGACCGGTGCTCCTTATTTTTTTATTTTTTAAAATATAATAATTATTATTTAATTTAATAAAAAAATAAAGAGTATTTTAATTTTTTTCATAATCTTTGTTAACGGTGTTTGTATTATTGGGATGGAGTGTTTATTTTGAAATTAATTGATTCATTTTCAATTTTGATTAAAATTTAAAGGGGTGTATTTTATCCTAATTTTATAAAAAGTAAATATTTAAATTTATATTTTAAGGGTAAAAGTATTTAATCATATACAAATTTTAATTTTAAAATAAAAAATAATATGGATAAAAATAATTATAGTTAAAAGTTATCATTGATAAATCTTAACGTAAAATTGTAAGAATTAATATAAAAAATTATAAATGTAGAATAAATAAATTTTAAATCTTAATGTAAATGTGTGAGAGTTAATATAAAAAGTCAATTAAATAAAAATAAATAAATTTTAACAAAAATCAAAAATCAATATTTATATTCTAAGGTTAAAAGTATTTAACGATATATAAATTTTAAATTTTAAATAAAGAATAATAAGAATAAAAATAATTATAGTTAAAAGTTGTTATTAAAATGTCTTGACATAAAATTATAAAAATTAACGTAAAAATTTATAAAAGTGAAATAACAAATTTAAATTTTAATGTAAATGTGTGAGAATTAATGTAACAAGTCAATTACATAAAAAAAATATAATTTTAATAAAAAATAGTTAAATTTATATTATCCTACTAAAGTATTTAATGATATATAAGTTTTAATTTTTAAATAAAAATAATAAAAATAAAAATAATTATAATTAAAAATTACTATTGAAGAGCCTTGACAAAAAGTAGTAAAAATTGACGTAAAAACTTAAAAAGGTAGAATAATCAAATCTAAAATCTTAACGTAAATGTGTGAGAGTTAACGTAACAAGTCAATTAAGTAAAAAATTTAATTTTAATGAAAAATAAATATTTAAATTTATATTCTCAAATTAGAAATATTTAATGATATATAAATTTTAATTTTAAAATAAAAAATAATAAAAATAAAAATAATTATATTTAAAAGTTGATATTGAAAAGTCTTAACGTAAAGTTGAAAAAATTAACGTAAAACTGTAAAAATTAATATAGAAACTTATAAATGTAGATAAATAAATTTAAAATCTTACAAAAATTTATGAGAGTTACAGTAATAAATCAATTAAGTAAAAAATATAATTTTAATAAAAAAACATTTAAATTTATATTATTGAGTTAAAAGTTGTTAATGATATACAAATTTTAATTTTTAAATAAAAAATAATAAGAATAAAAATAATTATAGTTAAAAGTTGCTATTGAAAAACCTTTACACAAATATATAAGAATTAGTGTAAAAACTTATAAAAGTGGAATAACCAAATTTAAAATATTAACATAAATGTGCGAGAGTTAATATAACAAATCAATTATGTAAAAAAATATATTTTTAATGAAAACAAACCTTTAAAATTATATTATTAGACCAAAGTATTTCACAATATATAAATTTTAATTTTAAAATAAAAATTAATAAGGATAAAAATAATTATAATTAAAAGTTGTCATTGAAAAACTTTAACGTAAAACTGTTAGAATTAACATAAAAACTTATAAAAGTAAAATAAATAAATTTAAAATCTTAACATGCACCCAATTTGACTCATTAGGTAATACATTATCCCTTTGCCTAAAAAATAGGATTTGAATCATCCCTTCTCCATTTATAAAAAAAAATATTAAAATGTGAAAGTTAACGTAAAAAATCAATTAAGTAAAATAAACTAATTTTAATGAAAAATAAACATTTAAATTCATATTCTCAAACTAAAAGTGTTAAGAATATATGAATTTTAATTTTTAAATAAAGAGTATTAAGGATAAAATTAATTATAATTAAAAATTACTATTGAAAAGCCTTAAGATAAACATATAAGAATTGACGTAAAAAATTATAAAAGTGAAATAAACAAATTTAAAATCATAATGTAAACGTATGAGAGTTAACATAATAAGTTAATTATGTAAAAAAATATTTTTAATGAAAAAAAAACATTTAAATTTATATTTTCAGACTAAAAGTATTTAATGATATATAAATTTTAATTTAAAATAAAAAATAACAAGAATAAAAATAATTATAGTTAAAAGTTACTATTAAAAAACTTTATAGTAAAGTTGTAAGAATTGACGTAAAAATTTATAAAAGTAGAATAAATAAATTTAAAATCTTAACGTAAATAAGTGAAAGTTAACATAAAAAATTAATTAAATAAAAAAACTAATTTTAATGAAAAATATATATTTATATATATTATCTGCTTAAAAGTATTTAACTATATATAAATTTTAATTTTAAAATAAAGAAAGATAAGGATAAAAATAATTATAGTTAAAAGTTTCATTGAAAAACTTTAATATAAAACTGTAAGAATTGAGATAAAAATTTATAAAGGTGAAATAAAAAAATTTAAAATCTTAACGTAAATATGTAAGAGTTAACGAAAAAAGTCAATTAAGTTAAAAAAATTAATTTTAATGAAAAATAAATATTTAAATTTATATTCTCGAACTAAAATTTTTTAATGATATATAAATTTTAAATTTTAAATAAATAGTAATAATAATAAAAAAATAATTATAGTTAAAAGTTGCTATTGAAAAATCTTGACATAAAAATGTAAAAATTAATATAAAAATTTATAAAATTGAAATAACTAACTATATATATAAAAATCTTAAAATTAGCATTTACTATCTTAAACATTCAATTTGTTCAGTTAAATTCTAAATAAAAAATTACATTCATCAGAATCTCCACAGCTATATAAAGTATTTCCCCATTTTGATTTCAAACAAATCAATCATTTGTGTACTCCCAACTGTTTTTGGATACATGTATCTCCCTTGTCCAATAACAGCGAATTACAAATCATCATTACTTTGTTTTACCACTAACGTTGTGTCGTTGTCCAAATGGCATGTCAAATAGTACCAACCAGGATAAGACCTTAATGGCCAACAAGAATATAGAGCAATTTTTCCGTGATTTCACCAAATTTAAGAGATTTGTGATTTAATTGAATCAAAGTATAGGATTGGTTTGAAGCACTTTCATCAACTATAAGCTAATTAAAAAGAAAGAGAGGAAAAGAGATTGCTTGTTCTAGAATTAATGTCAAAAAGTTGTACATGATTAAAAATTTGAAATAAATTTTTATTTTTCATTATATTCAATTAAATATATATTTTTATTTAAAATTAAATAAATCTTTATATTTAATAACTGATTAATCATTATTAATTAAAATGTCACTTATCATTCTATATTATGTGATGCTAATATAATGTGTTAACATATTATTATGATGATAGTATGACATATTGATATGTTATTTTTTATTTTTCATATCAACGTCACATCATTATCACGCAATGACAAATGATATTTTAATTAATATTAATTAATCAATCGTAAAACGTAAGAGCTAATTTGATTTAAAATAAAAATATAAAAATTTAAGTAAACATATTTAAATTTCTTTAAATAGTTCATAAACTTTTTCAAGCATTATACCTATTAAATTCCACTTTCTTAAAGTAAGTATAATTTGAACTTTCAATATTATCCTTCAACTGCTATTCAACATAACATCAATCTGTTCATATTGCCCTAACTTCAATGATTTCGCACTTAACAGAGTTGATCAACTTAACTGAAAGATTAGTAACTTGTGAGGAATAAGAATGGGTAGAAGTTTTATTAGTTGTTCTACAAATATAAAAACAAAATTCTTCAGAAATTCAGAAAGAGGAAAAGCAGTAAACAGAGATTCAGAGTTCCTGAAGGATGCCAGTAATCATTGTATCAATAACATTAGGAGTCAATGAGGGAAAGTGAAGCAGCAATTTACATTCACAAAACATTGTATACTAACCAATTTCATGAATTTTCCACTCCCTCAAGCCATATTCTTCTTCTTCTTGCCCTGAGAAGTTGATGCTCGCATGAGGTCACTGCTGTTAGGTACTGATTTACTGGTTGAAATGTGAATGACTGTTTCTAAGATCTTTTAACAATTTCTCCTTTACAATCTTCACTGCAATATTCAGCTAATTAGCATAGTAAAGAAAACCAGCCTTTTCTGGTTTCACTTTTTTCTTTTCTCTGTAAGCAAAAACGAAGTTCACTGCCACTTGAACTGAGATCATTACCATGTCTCTTCAAACACGTTCCAGGAGGGTACTATGCATCATGTATACAAAAAATGTTGGAGTTTGGTCAGAGCAAGCTGCTGTATCCTATTACCAGAAGTACTCGGGAAAAGCTCCTTAGAAACAAGAACCAGAAACCTAGGAGGTTTTAATCTGCAGCTCCAAGACAAAGCACCCTCAATAAGCAACACAGGTAATTTTGAAAATGATGCCAAAGTTTGAGATTGCTCCAAAAGAAAATATAATAATAATGGAAAGAGAAGAAAAAGGAAAAGAAACCATTCTAGACATTCTGATTTTAGTTGACCAAAATTGCTTTCAAATACTTAATACTTTAGAGAGTAAAATGAATTATTACCCCTAAACTGCTGCAAATGCATGACTTGTGCATAGATCCATATGTAGCAAGGCCTATAAAATTATGGGAACCATAGAAAGAATAGTACAGAGAAGGTGGAAAGATAGTTTTGACATAAAAGAGGGGTGTACAGCAAACCAATGAATAGTTTCTCTCTGAAAAGCTATTACAGAATAACTGCTTATATTACATCATGCTCATTAAGGGCATCCAACGACCAGAAGCCTGTTCCCCTCCCCCACACATAGAAACAAAGTAGGGGGTAGATGACCACAAATTCTCTTTGTGCCAGCTGCTGACTGTTTATCATGAAATTAGAAGGCAGAAGTCAAATGCTCACCCATGCAGATAAACAAAGTAAGGTTAGATAAGGACAGTAATCTTTTTTGTGCAAGAAAGTGTCTGTTTATCATGAGAATACGAGGTAGAAGTCTAATGCATCATTTATTTCCATATTCTTTTGTAAAATAACAGATGTTCAGTATTTTCATTATTCAAAAGAATCAAAACAAGCTTAGAGCCCAAAAGTGGCTGAAACTTACAAGGACTGAGGAAGCTCTACCCTATTTTATGTGCTGCAGAGATTGATTCCAGAAAGAGATTTGCTATGTTCTGCTCTGAAATCCAGACACCGCACAGCAGATATACTTGAGAAAGATATTTCCTTCAAGAAAAATGCCCAACCTCAGATGACATTAACAAGGGTAGCAATACATTTTTGTGTCTTCCTGAAACTAGAGCAGCCAAGTACAATCAACATACATGCTCAAGGCCACAAGAAGCCCAAATATTCAACTCTGCAATCACGTGTTGAAGCCAAGAAGCAGAACTCTAGAGGCAAGTCTATCAGGGGGGAATTCACTTGAAAACTCGTGAAAGAGTAGCTACTGTTTAATGTCAAGGATCAACCTCGTTGACAATAAATAGAATTGTACTTTTTGCTAGGTTGTTCTTTCCAACTCCATTCATTACCTACCAATAGTCGCGACAAGAACACAAACCATCCTTGAAATGGTGAAAACGAGTACCATCTCTTATGATAATTTCTCTGCCAGAGAGTTTAGATATAAATTTAATGGCAGAGTGGCAATCATTACAGACTCTGAGATTTTTCATGATCCTCAAAGTGGTGTTCTCTGGAGTGCTTATTAGTGCAAAAGCAATGGCCAATTTCTCACTATGATGTCTAAGCATCTGCTCCTTAACTTCTTCCTCAAGGTCATGTAATACTGATTCAGTATCCGGAACAAAGCCCATCCTTTTTATATCTTCCCATATCTTTGCCATCATCTTGTAGACTTCATCTTTCTGTGGATGAAGCCCATCCTCAGCTCCGAAGACATGGACTTTGTTCTTTATCTGAACCCAGCTAATTCCTTGTTCTTTCTTCACCCCTCCATCTTTCATTAACTTGCGAATTTTTGCAGCATCTTCCCACTTTCCACAAACTGAATACAAATTAGCTAGGGCTGAGTAGGCCCCACTGTTGTCAGGGTCAATACAGAGCAATCTTTCTGCTGCAATCTTTCCGAGTTCTACATTCTTATAAACCTTACAAGAAGATAAGAGTGAACCCCAAGTTATAACATCTGGTTCAATGGGCATCTTTTCAATAAAATCATATGCCTCTTGTACCAATCCAGCACGCCCAAGAAGGTCAACCATCAATGCATAGTGGCTTAGTGTTGGTTCAATTTTGTGAAAATCTTTCATCATATTGTAATACCTGCGGCCCTGTTCTACCAGTCCCACATGTGTACAAGCAGAGAGCACACCCACATATGTTATATGGTCAGGCTTGATTCCAGCTGCCAGCAATTCTTCAAACAGCTCAAGGGCTTCTTCTCCAAGACCATGTTGAGCCAGACCCATTATCATGGATGTCCAAGATACAGTATCTCTGGACCAATGTATCTGACTGAATATTTGCCTTGCACAATTAATGTTTCCTGCTCTAGAATACATGGTAATTAGAGCGTTGTTCACAGAAACTGAGGATGCTTGTCCAGTTCTTATGGCACTTGCATGAATTTGTTTGCCATGATCCAATGAAGTCAAGCTTGAACTGACACTCAACATGGCTGCCAGAGTGAAGTTGTTTGGTTTTGGACCATCTCTAACCATTAATCTAAATAGCTCCAATGCATCATTATTCAAGCCATTCTGCAAGTATCCAACAACCATGGCTGTCCAGGCAACCACGTCACGGTCTCTCAATGAGTCAAAGATCTCTCTAGCTGGTTTTAAATCTCCAAGCTTAACATATCCATCTAATAAGGATGTAAATGAAATGACATCAAGGTGTGAAATCCCACTCTTCTCTACAATCTTTTGAGCAATTTGAACCCCACCGGACTTTGCATACATGGAAATCAAAGCATTTCCTACTGGTCCATATGTATCAAATTTGGTGCTAACAATACGAGCATGAATTTGTTTCCCAAGTTTCAACATCTCAAGATTGGCACAAGCTGATAATGCACTAATAAACGTGAATTTATCAGGTAGCAACAAAGAATCCCTCAGCATATTACCAAATGTACCCAGAGCGTCAAGATCATACCCATGTTGATTGTAACCTGCAATCATTGAATTCCATGTCACGATATCTCTCTCATTCATCCTGCAAAATTGTTCACGTGCAAGATCAACTTGACCATACTGCATATGCAATGAAATCATAACATTCAAACTTGACGTATCCCTATATCCCATCCTATCAAAAATAACCCTTGTCATCATTGGATCACCTGACTTTGCATACATATTTAATAAAGAATTTGCAACACAAACATAACTACTAAGCCCAAGCTTAACTACACAAGAATGTACCTTTCGACCAATATCTAAAGTTTCAATAGCAGCACATGATGCAAGTACACTAGTAATTGTGTACTGCGTTGGCGTAACTCGTTCTTTAATCATTTCATCGAACACTTTTATAGCACTTTCGAAATGACCCATCTGATTATACCCCACGATCATTGTGCTCCACGAAACAGAATCAGGATTCGGTATCTTATTAAAAATTTCATTGGCTTCAGCCATTTTACCCTGTTTGGAATAAGCTGATAAAAGGGTGTTCCACGAGAAAATGGTCTTAACAGGCATTTCATCAAACACGGATTGAGCATCGTAAAACGACCCCGTTTTGGAGTATAAATTCATGAGATTGTTCAGTAAGAAGACACTAAAGTGAAGCCCGGCTTTTATTATTCGAGCGTGGATGGATTTTCCGGCTGAGAGGTCTTTGGATCTAAGGCTTTCTTGGAGGAGACAAGCGGTGTGATATGACAAAGAGGATGGGTCTGGGACGTTCATTTAGATAGCAGATTAAGAGAATAAATCAGTATTAATAATAATTAAGAGGTCTTGGTTTTGTCAAATCGTGATGACAAGTAAAAATGAAGTGGGTATTTTCTTCTTTGTAATTTAGGTTTGAGTAACTGAACTGGCGGGAAATAGACTAATGACGTTAGTGGCGCCACGGAACGAGAATATTGGGAGGGAATGAAACAGATTGTTCTTTTTTCCCCATTTATACGGGTGAAATGAAAAGCTCCTTTCCCATTTTTGCCAGAGTGTATAGGTTGACTCTGTAGGCTAAGAACCTTTCTTTTTATAGAAGACTCCTTTTTGTCCGCTTTAATAATTGGTGTATAATTTCTATTTAATGAAAAAACTTGTAATACTCTTCTCTAAATCAAATAAATTAAATTAAAATAAAATCTACTCAAGTTCCATTAACTGGCGAATTAAGTTGAGTTCCAATATTCAGTTGCCACCATTTAAGCCAACAGCTAGAAGAGAGCAAAGATCTGCCTCTCCCACAGTCCAACAAAATGACTCATCAGAAACCGGCAGGGAACCCTCCTTTTCTTGGGTCACTAACTGCTACAAGGCCTCCATTTCCCCTCAAAGCATCTAATTTATGAACTATAAATTGGCAGATAGTCCCACCAGCTAGGCCCTGTAGTACATGGCCCTTCTTTTGAAGGTCTCTCCTGATATGTGCAGGAACTTCAAAATGGTCTCCAATCACAGTTGTCCAGTTCTCGTATGTCACCACGTTGGGTATCAGCTGCATAAAAACAGTGAAAACGAATCAGATACTTAGCCTTAGCCATCTAGCTTAATGGTTAATCAAGAAGCAATGCCAAATTGGCAAAGGTTTCAGCAACAACCTGATGGTAGATCCTTGGTGCCATGACAGAAGAGAGAGGATCCATCCCCCGAGCAAAATGGTTCAAGAAAACCCCTGTAGTCCCAGCAATGATATTAGCTCCTCCACTAGCACCCACCACACCTCTCAGCTTCTCATCCTGCACCAACATACATAACATCCAGTTTCACAAAATGATCAAACAGAAATAGAATAGAAAACCATTAATTTTGACAAGTTAATTAGATAAAAAAAAATGTTCGAAGCAGCAAACCTTCAGTACTATTGTAGGTGTCATGGATGATAAGGGCCTTTTGCCAGGGCGGATGAAATTGGGTGGTGCTGGGGGTGGAGTATTTCCAGAGCTATTTGTGGGCATGGAGAAGTCATCCATTTCATTATTGAGAACTATTCCTGTACTTGGTGACAGTATCTTTGAACCGAAGTATGCATTCACTGTATTAGTCATAGATACAGCATTTCGCTTGATATCCACAATGGAGACATGGCTGGTGCCGTGATCATGGATTTGGTTCCACCTGCAATGCAAAAAATTGCAAGACAAGTCAGCAGTCAAGTTAATCTTATGGAGAAAAGGCATGCATGAGAATAGAACAGAATTTAACGAAAATTTTGTCAACATATAGAAGGGAATATTCTAATTGCTATGCTGTGCCTGCCTGTGCTCTGTGGTTGAATGAAGCATTTTACCTTCCACCATAGTGACCGGGGCCAAAAGTCATGTTGTCATAAATGGTTTTCTTCAACTCCTCTGCAAACTTCGGAGAGAGCATATCCGCTACAACTTTAGAAACATCCACGAAATCAGGATCACCCAGATTCATCCTCACCGCAAATGCATGTTTCAAAGCTTCAATAAGTCTATGGATTCCAAGTGAACCTGAAATACCAGAAGGGACTCCATATTGAGCAAGAATGTTGAGTGCCTGTTACAGTCAGATCAAAAAAGCCCAAGTCGTCACATTTCCTCTTTGTGGAGAAATTATAAGATAGGAAAAGCATGAACCAGAATACACTTACAAGCATCATTGAAGCACCCCCTGAGGAGGGAGGTGGCATGCCAAGAATTTTAAGGCCTAGAATATTTGCTGAGATTGGTTCCCTCATTTTAACTTCATACTTTTTCAGGTCATCAACTGTCAGTATCCCTCCAGCTTTCTGAATATCTCTTACCAAATTAAATCCAATCGACCCATTATAGAAAGCATCCACACCGTATATTGAAATCTTTCGAAGAGTTTCTGCTAGTTTCTTATTGTAACAGATGTCACCTACCTACTTGCAAAAGCTCCCCATTTGATGTGAAGATGTCACGGAGCCCCTTATCTGCCAAGATTGCTGACTTTGTACTTTCCATCTGCATCCGGAGATATGGTGAAACTTTGAATCCTTTCCTAGCAAGATTCTCTGCTGGCTTTACAAGCCTTGCCCATGGAAGCCTTCCATGTTCTTTCCATGCTTTGTGAAGGCCTGCAAGTTCCCCTGGCACAGCTACAGAGAGGGCACCGCTTGCCTTTAGAGTAGCATTGCCAGCATACATATTCTGAATGGAGAGAAAGATGGAAGGATTAATGAAGAACATACAAAAGATGGATTCAACATATAAGTTAGAAGAACAAGCAAATTCTGTCAAATCAATTTTGTGCACCTGGGAAGCTTTCATTGGAGCTGTTTCTCTCATATCGAATGCTTGTGCCTTCCCATTAGATTCCCTGACAAGCATGAAGGCTCCTCCACCTATGCCACTTGATGCTGGGCTTACAACGCCCAAGCAAAGCGCAGCAGCCACTGCTGCATCAACAGCATGCCCGCCAATCCGAAGAACATCCATCCCAATTTTCGAACACCGGCCATCATCAGTAGCAACTGCACCATGACGCGCAGCAATCTCCTCACGTCTCTGTTTGGAGGAAGCACTTACTCCATCCAGGCTTGAAGTAGCAGGGTCCACAATAAAGAAGAGAAATAAAATGGTGGTCCATAACAATGGCACAACTGCAACAGAGAAAATCCAGGATTGTTGAGTTCCTAAACAAACAGATCGAGTAATTACCCTACTACATGGATAAACAATATGCTCTTGATACACTGTTTCTAATTAAAATTAAGCTTCATAATTTACTTAAAATTGAGGGAGTTGCTTACAATGCCATCTTCTAACAGGAAAGAGAGCATCAGGAAATCACATCTAAAAGAAAGGAATAGAAGAATTGCTTACATGACATTTTCTTCTCCCTTTTGTGGTTCTTCATCGTCCTGTTTCTCTCCTTCTCCTAAGATTATGTAATGAAACTAATGCAATTGGAGTTGCAAAGGAGGTTCTAGGTCACATGTTGACTTTCTACTCCGGCATGTGTGTCAATCAAACGTGAAAATTTATTAGTATGGAAACAAGGAGGAAGCTACTAACCTAGTGATGCACAGAAAACAGTGTTGGCGACTGGATTCATTGATCTACTCTTACGTTTATACACATTTAACCATTTAACCATTTAAGTTTACAGGCTCATCACTTTAGTACTTTACATTAGTCAAGACCAAGATTGTTGATCCAGGTATGATTGGTGTTGGATAATCTTGTCTGAATCGGCATGCAATTACCTTTTGGACTCTATATAATACTTCAAAATCATTTATAATGCTAATAAGTAATAAGTAACTTGAAATTAAATTATTTGAATCACAACTTAAATAATTATTTTAAAAATTTAAATTCGATGTACTGTCATTATATAAATTTTATACAATGATTTAAATATTGCTATATTGTTAATAAATAAATTTAAACATTAAAAATTCTAAAATTAGTATATTAACTATAAATCTTTCTTTGAATGAGTTGTTGCTGTTCAATAATTAACCTTTTTATAAAATTAATTGAGACGACGGCAGATTCCTTATAAAGGTCTTGAGCTTTAAGCATTAATTGCTCATACCCAACCTTATCTAGGTCAAACAAAAGCCGTCCTTGGTTGCAATTTTCTTTTTCTTTTTGAATTTTTTTTCACGTATAAAAATTCATTGAATTTGGACTTATATATCCAAGTTCTCTCTCCAGATCCAAATTAATTAAAACTTGGATATTGAAGGTTTGATGCCCTAATTGTTTGAGTATTTACCATTAACAACGTAGAAAATTCATAAATTTTATTTTTACCAAGTGTTACCTTTATAGTAGATAAAGAAATTAATTGAAATTAAGAACTGTCCTAGCTATTTAATATATGATTCTATGTTTGATAATAGTAAATAATATTATTGATTGGCACTACGTACGATTTATATCTATTATCACATATTTTGAATTTGTGAAAACACAGTCAAATATAATTAAAACGCTATAAACATTCTTAAAGTGTGAGAAAAATAATTGTGGCAATTTGGAGGCATTTGCATTACATTACACATGTTTGAATAATTAATAAAATATTTACTTATTTTCTAATACTTAATAAATATTTATTTTCTCCCACATTCACGTCTTTATTAGTTTTGAATTAATTATTTCATTTTCTATTAAAAATATGTAAAAGTCAAAAATAATTAATAAAATGACATATTCTTTCATTTCTCAAATTATATACTTGATAAATCTCCATTTTGTTTATCACTTTCTAATTCTTATTAATTTTTAATTATTTCTCTTATTTCCAATCAACTAACAATAATATTTATTTAATGATTTCAACCGCTATTTATTTCTCATTTATTTATGCTATTCCAATCAACTATCGTAATATGTATTTAATATTTTCAACAACTATTTTTTTATATAAAAAGTTATTTTTTTTTCAATTTATAATATCCACTTTTGAGTTCTTCTTTACTCATTTGCACTTTTATCCTTTAATTTCAATTTTCCTCCAAAAAATAGGTAGAAAGTTTGTTATATTATAATTTTCATAAAGCAATGAGCCTCATTTGTGGCTTGCAATAAATATTCAACAATTAAGTACTATTGTTCTAATTTTTATATACCTTTTTACTTTAATTTAGAGTTTATATTATATTGTTATATTGTATTTATTTTATGTGGTAGTTGATTTATTTGAATTAGAAATTTCGATTTATGATTTTCTATTAGATATTTAAAAAATATAAGATAATTATAATAACTAAATATTTTTTATACTTTATAATAAATATTTGAATATGTTAAATCAAAAATATGAATCTAGTTATTTAAAGCTTAAAAAGGAAAAATTGAAAGTTTAATACAATCTCAAAAAGAGCATTTGATAATTTTTTTACAAGCAATAAAAATAATAAATCATAAATTATTAAAGAAATATTAGAGGAATTTGATTATAAAAGTTTAATTAGAAATTTTGCATCTCAAAAAACTAAAAGAATAAAATTTTAATAATTTTTTTCTTAGTTTCAATGAAAAAAGGTCTCATTTGAATATTTTACTTTAGGCTTTTGAGATTATTAAGCCACATGCTTTGAACAATTTCCTTGATACCATGTTTGATATTTATTGTGTGGGTGTTGAAATAAATGTTTAAGTTGTTATATATGAAGATTTAAAAATATTTTTGAATTTTTTAACCATTATAAATAAAAAATTATATTCCAATTTTTGGATCAATGATAAATATATGTATATATTTATATATATCCCTATAGAAAAAATTAAGTTGGATCATCCTTTTTTCAATTTAAAAAGAAAAAAAAACTACATAAGATGGTACGAAGGGTCAAAGTATATATTGAATCTAGACCTAACAATTCATGTTTTTATATCTTAAACGTATCAAACATAATTAAATATCAAACATGACACGTATACATATATGTTTAATAATAGTGTAACACGACATAATATAATTAACACGTTTATTAACCGTGTCAATATGTGACACAACACTATTAATAATATGTTTAACATGATTAAATAAAAATACTTACAATTAAATATAATTTTATTATTTAAATTTAAAATCAATAACTATAAAAACAATTATAACGGAACAAAATAACAATAACATCAAATATAACAAAATAAAATTTAAAATTAGGGTTTGGGCATGACATAATTACATTATTAGCTTTATAAAATTTACAAATCTTATTAAAATAATTATTTAAAATTATTTAAGTAAGGCTAAAACAGACCTTAACTATTAATTTTTAATAAATTGATAAATGTTTCATGTATATACGTTTAAATATGATAACACGAGTAAACACATTTATATAGTTAAACACGATAATACGATTAATTAAATATGTTATTAGTGTCTGATACGTTAAGACACGAAAATTTTCATATTTTAAACGTGTTAGACACGATTAGATATGAAACAGTTAATATTAAACCCAAATTTATATAATCCCGTATCTTTTTGTGTCATGTTTAAAATTATCAAGTCTAATTGAGTTCAACATTTTTTTTTTACATATTCTTACTTTTCTATCAAATTTAGAATTATTAAATAGTTAAGTAAGGCCTAAGGACACCATTGTGAATTGTGAAATGAAAAAGGTTTTGATATCTTATTGAAAACGTTGGTTAAAACCTAATAAGGTCCTAAAATGAATTGAGCTTCTTGTTACAATCTATTAATGGGGATTTTTTTTCAAGCACTGAAATTATCTACTTTTTCCCATTGTTCTCCATGGTAGTGTATGAAAGGCCTCCACAGTGGACATACCCCATGTGATATATACCTTATAACAGTTAGAAGCCTAGCTACCAATATGATATACACCACCACTTCATTTCCAATAGTATATATATATATATATATATATATATATATATATATATATATCTCCAGGGTGGAGTTGCAAAGAAGTCTCCTGGTGGATACTGGCTAGTTTGTTTCGAATGATTGAATCTGATCAATATTCAAATGCATTAAAAATTATGGAAGGGGACAAACGTGATGGATGCCAGTTTTCCAATTAAAAAGGGCAGAGCATGGTACTATCATTTTTCCTGTTAAAAATGACAACGTTATCTTTCATGCTATCTTTCAATCATGTCCAAGTTTTTATGCTAAAATCTTTCTTTGAGTGCTGAGGTCTCTGTCCACCAAAGTAGCTTTGGATTTGAGCTTTGAACTAATTATTTTTCTATTACTGAAACAACTGCAAGTCTTGAGAAGCTCCATGCCCCATCTCCATTGCTTAGTTACTAACTGTAATAAACTGCTTTGAACTATAAATTAATTCATGAGTTAGGCAAGTAGACGAAAGTCTCAAAAACTGTCATAGCTTTTATCAGAAAGCATCATTACTGAGTGATGGACGCAGAAAAAGGCATCGGTATAAAACACGTGCAATAATGGGCATCATCATGCGCACAGACTTGTAATTTTCAAGCTGGTCCTGCGAGATTCAGCGATTCACATAGAATCATTCTCATTCACGCAAGATTTACAATAGAATTATTGCTTCTTCAACCTGTCAAATTTACACTAACTTGAATGCTACACGTACGAAACCACTTGTTCATTTGAAGAAGGATACTATTATTGTCCTTTTAAAATTGGTTTCTTTGGTGCTTGAGTTCTGATGAGAACTGTAACCAAAACTTACCGTATTACTATATTTTCATACTTATCATTGAGCTAACAATGGAATAAGAAGATGGGAGAAAGAGAGAAGGGAAAGGGTGCATGGCCTGGGAAAAGCCAGAAGGGGATAACAAATCTGGCCGTGGCTGAAGTGAGAGGCCATCGTTAATTCCTGCTCTATATGCAATTGTACACTGCAATATAAAAAACCAGCAGGGAATCCTGATCAGTTTTTAGGTCACTTTGAGCCACAAACTTTTCCAATTCCTTTGTTTTCGTCTATATGAAGCTGCCAAACTCCTAAAATTTCAAAGTGGTCACCAGTCACTCCATGTCCAATTCTCATAAAATACCACGATGTTGTGTGCCGGTTGCTGAAACAAAATTGAATCATATGTCAGATCTTAAAGATCAAAGAAGTTAACAGCCACTGTTCTCCATATTATCGGGTACATAACGTGGACAATTCATCCTCTAAAAACAAAAAGACGTAGCAAGCGAATCCTAAAAATTGGAGAAGGCGTCGAATTTAATTATAAATGTTTGTCGCTTTGGAGGTGGCAGTAAGCCTGGTTAATGATACGTAACTAGTGCAATGGGCCAAGACTTTGAACCCATGCAAAGCCGGATGCCCTCTTTATCCGGTTGACCATGCCAACTTTCCATCACAAAAGGCTTTTCAATGTCCATCTGGTGGTCCCAACTCCTAACCCTGTATCTCTCCGAATACATTAGATAAATGTCGTCTAAATAAGTTGTTAATTATCAAGAACTAGCTAGGTGGCTAGTCATCCAAAACCAATCCATAGCCATTTTTCTAACACAAACCACGCAAAAGTATCATTAATTGGAATTAATATTACCAGTGCATGCCCTATCAAGCGGTGGCATTGAAAGCGAGGTCAAATTCACATGACATGAAGTTGAAATTCAAGCCAGAAGCTTAGTGAAAAGGATTCCTTTGTGTAACAAGTAAAATGATATATCGAAGATGTATAGAAGGTGATGTAAAAGAAAATTGGAGTAGCTCTTCAAGTTTTGAGCGTCATGACAGAGAATACGTGAAGAATTAATGAGTGGAAGGGAATTAGAGAGAGAAATGAAATGTGTTGTATTAGCTATGGAAAAAGATCTTTAGATGAATTGTGAAGGTTCTACATTTATAGTGTCAAAAGAAGTAGAAATTCAAGAATAAGCTTTAATGCATTAATTAAAGTGATGATTTATTATATAATATGAGTAACGGTTAGCAATTTATTATGTGATCATTAAAGTAATAAGTGCTTTAAGACTATTAATAATGTAATAAGAAAGAAGAGAAATATTTGAAAACGTACAAAAAAAACAAAATAAGAGAAGAAGGTGTACTACAAAAATATTAACATAAGGGTGAGAGGAATAAACATTTATACTTAAACAAAATAAAAGAGAGAAACACTTGTATTTCAAAAAAAAGGTTATAGAAAAACTTTTTAATTACTTTCGTTTTTAAGCTATTAAAACCAAACTCTCCAAAACATCTCAAAGTAAAAGCACTTATAATCTTAAGTAGGGTTTGGTATGAAGGAAGTAAAAGCACATTCCCTACAATGTACCCAATTAAATTATATTGTAGTGTTTATTTTACAATAGACCACTACAATGTAATATTGTAATGTAATCATATTACAGCTATGGGATGTAATGCGATTGCAATCCAAAACTAATACAATTACATTACATTGCACTTTATAATGTTTTTAAAGCTATTTTTACCCTTCAACTTTATTACTTTATTAAAAATATTTTATAATGTTATAATTAAAATAAAATATAAAAAATTAAAATTTATACAATATAGGTAAATTAAATTAAAATAAAATATATCATATAAAAAATTATATTAAAAAAATAAAAAATACAAGATTACAATAATAAATGAAAGTAAAATATATGACATTAAAAATATATTTAAGGGATGATATTATATAAAAATTAACAATAAAAAATACAAGTATATTGAACTTACATTTTAATAAATAAGGGCAATTTTGAAAATTAACATTACATTCCCATAAAGTACTTGTAAAACAAACGTTGTAATGTTATCTTCCCTACATTTTAATAATTATTTTGCTTATATACCAAATACTGTAATGTTATTTTTCTTGCAATCACATTACTTGCAATCATATTACCTGTAATCACATTGTATTGTAAAGTACCAAACGCCACCTTAATACTTAAAAGAGAGAAACACTTATATTTCAAGAAAAAAATTATAAAAAAACCTTTTAATTACTTCCGTTTTTAAGCTATTAAAATCAAATTCTTCAAAACATTTTAAAGTGAGAGTAACTATAATCTTAATACTTATTTCAGATTATTTTTATTGTTATTTGCGTGAAGTAATTGTTATGCGAGAAGTAATTATTTTATTTGTATTAATTGTTTTGTACAAAGTAATGCTTTATATGCTTTAATTGTTATAATTGTTCTACTTGTATTAATTGTTTTGTATGAACGTACGTCCCACTTGCTTTAATTGTTCTTCATAAAAAAATATTTTGCTTTTGTTAATTTATCTTATTATTTTTTTATTATATTACGTTGTGATATAATATTTTAAAAAATAAATAATAACTAAAATTAACTGTCTACGCCCTGTAACCCATGCATCCTATGATTCACTACTCAAGTCAGACATACATGAGGCACCACGACTGATTAACATGCATTGCCATCGGATTTCTAATGTTTGCTTCCTTCACTAAAGCGCCCATAGCTCTTTACCTCTTCTCTGAAGGAAAAAAAATAAAATCTTAAATTGGTTCGCCTGCCATCCTGAGTATCCTGTTTGCATCAAATTTTGTGAGGGGCATAAAATAAAAGTGCTGGTGCTTCATTTCCTTCCACGGTTTGTATTTCAGATTTCCCTGCTTACTGCCTCAAGTGAGAGGGTGCTTTGAATTGAATAATTTAAGGAGTCTTGTTGCTCAAAAAAAAAAAATTGGCACATGCAAAACCTGATGATAAAACAATTATCACTGCAAAATGGTTTGAGGAAAACTTTTTAGAATTGCAATTATCCCAAATGCTTAGATTAACAAATTCAGCATTCAAGTTCATTGAAGCCTCAATTTATCTTCGAGCTCCGAATTTTAGAAAATAGAAATAAAACGATTTTTGAATATCTCCATTCTTTAGAGTGAAGGAAAAAGGCCTAAAGCCCAACATATCCCAAGTGAGGTGAAGCCCATTTTAGGCCCAATGTTAATGAAATAATTTTCTCCGCTTCGATGGTATTCCTGCGTTCCAGGCCCAGGAAAGAGAGAAGAGAAAGGAAATTCAAAAGAAGAAAGCGGGACTATCCTCTCAAGAACAAATCCGCCCACTTCCACGCCTCGTCCAAATTTCTTTCTTTAAATTTGTAATTTTCGTTTTGGTTATTTATTTCTGTTCTTCTTAATGAATTAGCGAATGTATTCCTTGATGACTCGACGGCTTTGTTGTTAATTTCCTTTTTCATTCAATTCTACCGCCAGTCGCTCTTTACCGTCGAGCAATCCGCTGAATTGGGGTTTGCCCCCTAAATTTTCTTTTTCAAAATTTAAATCTCGAGAGTTTATGTGCTTAGTCTACTTCAGGCGACAAACCCAGAAATACTCAGTGTAAATGGCGAAACGTAGAGCCAAAAGAACTGGTAAAGAGGTTCCAGCATCAGCTGAACGCAGAGTAGAGGACGATGACAAAAAGGGGAGCCGAATTGAGGAGAATAAAGAGGGATTAATCGACCAGGAAGGTATATTTGTTCTTCAATCACATTTTCATATGTAGCAAATATGTTCGAATTGATATTATAGTTTGGGTGTCTGTGCATTTAATCTATTTTGCCTTTTACCATTTATTTGTGCTTTAGAGCAGCTTTTGACTTTTGAGAATGTGAAAAGTAGATAGCAAAAGGTAAGCTAAGTGATTAAACTATGGAAACTGTTTTAATATTGCTCAATTTATTGATGTCATTCTTTTTATTATTATTATTATTATTTTGTGTAACAGTTGAACGGCAATGTGCTGCGATTAGGGCTATCCGGGATGTGGAAATTGAACATATGCTGACTGCATTGCGTTTACTACGCTCATATTGTAGTGAGGAGCAGCTGCAAACACCTGCATTGCAATTTTTCAATGAAAATCTTCCAAATCTGTCAGTTGTAAGAAATGCGGAAAATGGACAGTTTGAAGTGCGGTGGAAACACGAAGATGGTAACATATCCGTTCATAATGCGGATGGAAGAGACATACATTCTTCTCTTTTACATCGCATGTCCATAGCTTATCCTCACGACGTTGGTATTCCTTCTTTTGGTGGCTTTGAGTTGACAACTGAAACAGGTAGTTTTAAATGTTTTTGAAACAGTTGTTGTCAACATTAACTTTTGATTTTTCCACAATGGTTCTGTCTGAAATATTTGCTTTGTTGGTGGCAGAAAGAACAAGCCTTCTACAGGGTGACAATCTGCAGATCAAGGACTTTGTATGTTCTCTTTACCCTTCATCTGCATCTTGGAAAAATGTAGAAAGTGGTTGCCTTTGTTTCTTCCAAGAACCAAGTAGCTTTGAAGTTACGACATTTAAGGATGCTTGGATGTTGCTATATTTGTTATTATCTTGTTGATTGGAGGCTTTCTTTTTTTTAGAACTTTTTTTACACTATATGTCCTTCAAGATTCATTTTAATGGCAAGTTAGATTCAACCAATACTTTCGTTATAGGTCATTTTGCATCTCTTATGTCTGAGCTACAATTTTCCTTCCTCTTTGAACATAATCTAATCGTCGACAAACAAAAATTAGGTTTCTTTGAGGTTTTACTTACACCATATCTTTGTGTATTATTGCAAGATTTAGATGATAAGAACAATAAAGCTTGCGTACCTGTCATCCATTCATTGATGTTATAAAGTGATGAGTTTATGTAATTTTTCAACTTAAAATTTCTGTTTTGTAGCTTTTGGAAGGGACATCGGACAATCAGACGTTTGGAATGCATGATGCTCTTCGAACTCCTGGGGTTTGTATCCTAATCCTCTTTACACCTTTTTTGTTTATAAACCTGGATTCTAATTTATCATGTTTTTTCGAGGATGGGGGTTTGGTCGGAGGTCGCATTCAGTAACTTTTTTTCTGTACCCTTTTCCATTTTCCTAATTGATGGAGCTTTTCTGAAAAGATTGTGTTTAACATTTTATTGGGATGCTATCAAGATATGGCTGAGCTAAAGTTTCTTATGATAACTTTAAGTTTTGATTTATTCTTAACATCAAAATCAATATGACAATTAAAATGGAAAAGAGTTATCATGATGAAGTAGACCATCGATAAGTGGCAAGGAAAATGTAACTGTGAAAAGATTGCTCCTAGTTGTGAGTAGTTTTGCCCTTTAAGTCCTTTAGTGCTTGTGCCAAAGATTGAGGATGAAGGGGCTATCCTCTATCATGTACCTTAGCCATTGGATTGAAAAGGAAATGGGGAAGACAAAAGCTTATTCTTATGAAACATTTAGTGATTAGATTGTTTCATTGCAAAATTCATCCAGTGATCAATGATGTGCTGTTATAATTTGGTATGTTGGATAGTTATGATAATTACACATTTTTGGTTGTTTAACACCCTTAACACCAGTCTACCTAACCTAAGGACGTTATTAGCTTAGCTAATTGGAACCTTCGCGGTTATGAAACCCTATCAGAACAGCAATTCTCTCCCCTTTAGAACTATTACGTAATCCCTGATTATTACACTGAGAAACTAAAGAAGCATGTTTTGTTTTTGTTTGAAATTTAAAATATTATTTTTTTCATTTTGCTGCCATAGAGCAATCTAATTGTATTTCTAGATGGCTTCTATTAGATTATCATTAACAGAATGGTTTATCTTATTGCTATTATTCCAGGTGACCAGCCAAAGGTTATCAATTGGGATGACACCCAAAACTCTGAGGTTGCCTAAGCCTGGGGAGATGCTTCTTTCTGTCCATGGCTCACCTCTTGGTGTGTACAAGGAGGATAATATGGAAGCTATACGTGGTATGCTTTTAGTTTAGTGTATCTATTTCTTTCAGACTTTCATGGTCAATATTCTGCAGGGTGTTGCTTTCCTTTTTGCTCATTAAGTGGAAGTAATTTGAAACACCTGAATGATCAAATCTTTTTGTTCCCCTTATTAAAACATAATTTTTTTTGAAGATTCCCTTATTAAAACATAATAGTTGATGCATTTTCCTTTATATGCTCTATGTTCTTGAAATGCAGATGCTTTCCCTTTGTTATTGTTCTGATTTCTGAAATTTTGCTTGCAGAGTCAGAGGAGGGGTGATTGACTTCAAACTGTTCAGCCAGTTATGATGGTTAAATCTATTCAACTAGTGCAGGAAATTTATAATGGCCCTTGCCTCATTGTTCACCTGGTTATTATTGTAACTCACTGATACTTTTGAAGATGACCTTGCTCGTGTAGGATGATAGGATCTCTGTTATGATATCTTCCTTGTAATCACAGATAAGTTTAGAGCTGCTTTGCCATATTAATCAACTTATGGTCACACGAACAGTTATCCAGCTATAGGCCTTTACACTTCCCTCCATTCCATTTCTTTCTACAGGTGGGGATTCCCATTTATGGAGGCTTGTATTTAAATCCTTTTACCCTTGGACAAAATGGTTGCACTCTAAATCCAAACAACCCAAGCAGCTGCTTAATCCCTTGATTTGGAATCCTATTAGATAGACCAGTAATTTCCTCTGATATCTGCAACTATCACTCATGAAACAAAAGCTCAGCAACATCCAAAATCCTAAGTTTTAAAAAGAAAAAGCTACAGATGCTTTCATATTATTTAATTGGATATAAAACCAAAATTTAAAATGTTATTCTGTCACAAAATGGAATCATTGATGCAAGTCTACATTCTACAGTGTTACTTTTATCAATGAAGCAGCTTGCTTGTACATCTCTCTTGTAGAGGAATTATTCCTATTTTAAGTCATTGAGAACAAATCATAAAACATTTTAGACCAACCCAAATCAATTGGAAGACAGTTTCCTTATTCAATGCTACAGCACACTTCACTATACCATCTTAGTTGCCCGTCATGAACGTAGCAAAGTGCTCCATAATGGAGCATGTCATGCTGTGAACATTAATAAACCGAAATATGAGGAGCGGCACATATTCAAAACTAGCTTCCAAATTCGCTGCTGACAATTGAGGAAGCCTGCAATGCATAAAATGTTCTGCATTCTTTCTTCTTTTTGTCTCTGCATGCACAACTCACTGTATTTGAATTAAACTGCACACTTTGACAGAGCAAAACTAATTTTCAGAAGGAAGAATTGGTTGGTTGGCCTGAAAAGCCGCACAAAATAAATGAAACCAGTTATTGACAGAAGATATCAAAAATCAAATTTCACTTGCTAAAGATTCTCTCATATAAGTTAATGAAACAGCTGCACAAACTACTTTGTAATTAAGAAGGCCCTGACTTCTTTAGAAGTTAGTCTGGATGAAAACCATGTTCAGACAATGGCAGACTGAACAGCAGGATAAATAGTGGAAGGTAATGAAAACAGGATGCTATTTGGAAGGAGCTAAAAACTAAGATAAGGTGGACGTCAGAAACGAATAATGAGCCAATGTTAAGGGCAAGAAGACTGCCACTGGATCCTATATCCAATTAAAAATCTTCACGAAAGCTTCTACTTCTGAAAATTTAGAATTACGCACAAGCAGGCGGTGGTTTGTGACATATAGATGCCTGAAAATATCATGCTTAATATCTTTTGACAACTGGTGCAATAAAGTGCAGGTTGAAAAGCAGACAGAAAGCTTCTGCACATAACAATATGATTAAAACTATGAACTAAGAGCAGAATTTGGCAGATACTATTATATTTTCAAATATAAAATCAGGCACAGAAAATGATTCACATTAAGAAGATATAGGCTTAGCATATGCAAATAGAAAATAGCACAAAATAGGAGACACATACCACAGTTGGTGGGGACAACGGTCAATCAGTGCGGCAATGCAGCCAAACTTGATAACCATCCGAATGCAATACACACCTTGCTTTGAATCACACTTAGTTGGAAGGAGATCAGAAGAATAAAAAAACCAATCAAATAGTTACTTCCACATCAGTTTTTGCACTTTTCTCTGGCCTGTCACCAATTGTGGTACTAACAGAATCAGGACTAGCAGGTAAAGATCCAAAAGCTTCTAGAGCCTCAAGGAAGAACCTCTTATTAGGGACTATACCATCGTTTTCCATTTGCTTCACCAACTTCTGCATGAGGTCTTTCATGCCGACCTTAGTGTAGGCCTTATATAGAAGTTTATATGTTGATGAGTCACGAATCACCCCCATCCTATGTGCATTCTCAAAGAGCCTATCTGCTTCCACATGTAGACCATTTATGCAGTAAACTTCAAGCATGGCATTTAGGGTTGAAACTCTCATCTCCTTCCCAGAGTCAACAATCCCATCAAATATTTCCCTAGCCCTAGAAACACAGTCACAAAAGCCATACATCATTATAAGACTCTCATAGGTGATGAAACTTGGTATGTATTTCATATCTGTCATCTTTTTGAAAACATGTTCTGCTTTCTCTTTAAGCCGTGCCTTCCCATAGTTTATTATCATTGAATTAAATGTAGGGAGGGTAGGTTTTTGCTTGGAGTGTAACAAGCTCTTAAACACTTGTTCCATCTTATCAAATTCTTGCTTCTTGCCATATGAATCAATCAGCACATTAAATGTAATAGTATCAGGCTTACACTGATTGCTTTTCATTCGAGAAAGAACAGACTCCATCTCTCTAATCATCCCATTTTTACCATATGCATCCATCACACCGTTATACGTATATATATCAGGGGCAATAATGCTCTCTGCAAGATCCTTAAACAAAGCATTAACCTGATCCACATTTCGAGCTTGAGCAAAGGCTCTCAAAAGGATGTTGTATGTGACAATGTTGGGTTTGCACCGTTCCATTCCCTTCATCTTGTTAAAGTACCCCATAGCTTTGTCCAAAGCCTTCGACTTGTCATGCGAATGGAGGTGGGCTGTGATAAGAGCATTGTAAACAGAAACATCAGGCCGACAACCACTATTACGCATCTCAGAGAAGAGCCACATTGCCATTCTAGTTTGGCCTTTCTTTCCCATAACTGTAATCAATTTAGAATAAATCCCATTATCGGCAATGTACCAGCGTTGTTTCTGCATCCACCTGAAAACCTGAATGGTACACAATATGTAAGTAAACAAACCATTTTATTTCATCGAATGTCATTACCAAATACCAACAGTAATGGCCCTCTTTTTAAATTGCGCTTGCTCCAATTAAGGCAATTCAAAACCCAACTGATTGGTCACTTCAAAAACTTTTTTTTATTTGAAGAACACTTCAAAAACTTAAATTTCCAAATATATAAAAACTCAAGATGAATACAAAAGCTTCCTCTCAACTAACTAAAACTCCAAGTTTCAAGCTCTCTCATATATTTCATGGTATTGCAAGCAAGTAATGATGTTAATTAAGTTCCATCTGGTTACTGCTTTTACTACTGGCTTTTTACTACTATTACTTATTTCTTTGCTTCCAGAAAATTGGTGTAAAGCAAAAGTAAATAGCAGCAAAACAAAATGTTATAATTTATTAACAATTAAACAGACGACTAAAATACCATCTTAATTCTAACATATTGCTCAAAATAAATGTAAAACACCCTTCATTTTATCCAAAAAAATTAATATCTTCAGTATTTAATTTTTCAAAAAACATTTTTTACCCAAAATTATATCAATAATAAACCTTAAAATCACAATTCCAAATACCCAAAATATTAAAATGGACCCAAAAAAAATCAAGAAAGAGAGAAACAAACAAACCTCAAGACACTGAAGCCATTTATCCGTTTTCCCAAGCTCTTCGAACAAAAGAAAACAGTGCTTACATCTCACAACTCTCACGTATCTGTTCAATGTCTTAACCAACGGCTCTTTGTCGCTGAAACTTCGCATTAAGACCCGAACCAGTTCCAGAGCTTCCGGGTCCTCGGCCTTTGAAGAACCCGTTTTCCGCCTGGGTCGCGTCGTAATACAGGATATTCGTGTTATGGGTCGGGTTGAAAGATGACATGGCTGACTCAGGGTGGATATGTAAATTTGGGAGAATGGAGAATGGAATGCGGGGAGTTGCAAAGAGCAGGGTGATAAAATTAGGGGCATTGTTTGTTCTTTACTTTCGCCTTTCGTTGTTTGGAGAAGATAAAAGGCTTCTGCGTTAAAATGGCGGGGACTGCAGGGGGCGTTTTACAAATATGGAAAGTTTCGAGGACTGAAATGACGAAAGGGCCCTATATGTGGGCAAAGTAGAAAAAGGGAGGATCCACTAGGGATCGGGATTTTGAACCCGACGTGAATCGAACACGCAACCTTCTGATCTGGAGTCAGACGCGCTACCATTGCGCCACGGATCCGTTGGTCATTTGGGACCATCAATAAATTAATTTACAAATTCTAAATGCAAATAAGTGATTTATGAACTAACAAAGAAACATAATGCCTTCAAATCTTATATTTGAGTACTTTTATGTCATGATAAGTGATAAGTGATAATATCCTAAAAAAAAAAACAGTGACAAATGGTAACATTTGAACTATATAAATAAAATATATATGAGAAGAAAGGGATTTTACAATTATGTTTTTATCATATATAATACAAAGAAAACAATGACTTGTTCTCTAGTTTATTGGAGAGATGACGTGTCAATCAAAATAAACTAATGTCAGTTGTTGGCCGGCATACGAAGGACAAACGGTTTTCGCTTGCTTAATATAATAATATGATAAAAACAATAGAACAAAAGGAACCTACCAGGTAATTTTATAATTTCATTATAAATTTTAGTATTCATGGCCTTTCTTTGGTGGTAACATTTTTCAATTGCATGCACTTGCAATTTGGCCTGGTGCCTATAGTAGTTGCCTGAGCCTCGGGAGCTGCCGAGCTGTTCCTCAAGACGTATGACCTTGTCTTTTCTAGGAGCCCATCTTTTTGAAGCTGACGAGTACATTGCTTAGAATAAGCAGAACTTGTCCTTCTCTCCCTACGTGTCTTATTGGCCGAACATGCGTAATATATGCACTCTAAAGTCGCCCAGTAACATTAAATCCATTCTGCCAGGTCCACTAGAAAGGATGAGCTTCATCCCTTTGATTGACTGCATTTTAAAAGGCCGCCTGTGACTTGCTGTTGATCTTACGGTTGAGGTCTCATCTTTTAGCACTGACATGACTTGCAGAATGGTGCTGGGAAAGAAATATTTAGTAATGAGCTTCATTTTACTCCCTGCTCACAAATACAGGACATCCTTGTGGCTGCAATGGACACTTAAGCCACTGCAATTGAGTGGACATTGTCCGAACTCATCAAGCATAACAGGCAATGGATAGAGTCCGAAAAGAATTAGAAAACGTGGCAGGCATGCAGGGGGTGTAAAATAATCAGACTTGGAGAAAATGGAGTACTTAAACACGGTTTTGAAAGATAGCTTTAGGCTTCATCATGGTTTCACATAGCCAATAATTCTCGCATCTTAATTAACGTATGGGCCATTGGTCGCGAGCAACATGTATTTACTGACACCGTGTAGATATTTCCAGAGAGATTAATTGGAAGTCAACATCGATAATATGTGACGCAACTTCCAACTAATCCCGTTCGGTTCTGGCCCCAGAGGCCGCCCTGGAATGCGACTGGGTCTGATTATTGTTCACCCTGTAGTGTCACAATTGGTTCATTGCTTTGATTGAGAGCTTCCACAGGTTGTGCATCGGTACAAATATTATCTGATTGGCGCTTTCAGTTCATTTTTTCTACTCACTATCTTAACTCTAATGAATCCTAACTACAGACGTCTTCTACATCTAACATCTTTCTTTAGTCACTCTCAACTTACCTTCTTTACGAAAGAGGAAGGAGAGAGCATGAAAGATCCTTATCCGTTGACAGGTTGTGTCCCATACAACGCCCTATCCACCAGCTTAGATATGTAGCAATTTTTTTTAAAAAAATTAAAAAACATCTTCCTTTAGTCTTTTAGAAATTTCATGAGAACAGATCGAGGTTTACAGGATGTCAGGAATTGTTTTGGGTATTTTGTTTGAGATGAAGGGCCTTTTTCAGGTTTTTAGGCATTAAGTGGAGGGCTTATTCGGGTTTTAGTCTAGATGAGAGGGTCATCTTCGATTGTATCGCCTAGGTTCTTAGGTCATTTGGTTGTGCCATTTAGGGTTCACAGTTCTCGTTCTTGTTTTGGTTATTTTAGTGCTAATGGTCAGTGGGCAAGTGAGGTTCCCGTTCTTCTTCTCTCTTTGTCTCTTTGTTTTTCCCGTTTCTTTTTTCTATTTCTCTCTTCATTCTTTTTCCCTTTCTCTTTCTCTCTTTTGTTCTTCTCTTCAGTCGGGGTGGCTTATAGGTTTTCGGTTCTCCATCTGTTTGAATGCTTCCAAAATTATCTATACCCTGAAATCATGAATTTTTTTTTCCAAAGGCGCTTGAAATCAAGGAATTGAAAGTATATCTTAAGTTTCTTTATCATCTTCCAGCTATTTTTCAATAACCAAAACAGGGCATTAATAGCATTAGTATTTGTTTATTCTTGAAATTCTCAATTTGTTTTCATAGCTTTTTATTTTTTGTATCAGGAATTGAAGTCAAACTTAAAAAACGACACCCTTATCATTTTGACAATGTGCGGGGAAAGCTTCACATTACTCAGGTACATTCTCCTAATAATTGGAAGTTAAAAATAAAAAAAATTGATTTGATTTTTTGAATTTTGGTTTATGTTGGAATTTTAATCTTTTTAAAAAAATCATAATTAATGTAACCGTAATGTTGATTGTAGTTTAAAATGCTTTTATGAGTTGCTTTGAGGTTGTGACACTTCTTTAGTGGAGTGATTATCTGCATGGAATGGAATGAAGTTGAATCATTTACTTAGCATATATTAGTCTATGGTTTGTTATAGTTTGGGCTTAGTTCTCTGAATTGCATGGTTGCTGAGATTGCATGTGTGTTTTGTTGGTTCTACACTTTTTTCTCGTGATTAGGTATTTTGCTTACAGTTTGTTGGTTGTCTTTTCCCTCATTTTGTGCTTTGATTATCTTTTTTTTTTTTTTGCTGGATATAGCTTTTTATATTTATTTATGTTTCAAAATTGTAAACTATTGGGGTTGGCACTAACATATCTATTCTTATTTGAATATTTAGATGATTTGTCAATAAGTTCATTATATGTTTTAACACAATATTGTATATTTGCTGTTTTTTCTCATAAACTATTATTAATATCACTAACAGCATTTATCTATGCATTGTTGTTAACAACTACTTTATTATTCAATTCAAAGATGAAATATATTATTAAATTATTTAATTATTTGAAATAATTTTTAAATAACTTCCGCAGCATAACGCTGGTTAGTGATTAGTTTAAATAATTTCTATTTGTCTCTTGCAACTAGTTATAATTCCTATTCCTATGGCTATGATGATGCCATGCGAGGGGCGTGTAGAAGAAATATGCTGACAATTCTACTGAGAATATTTAATTAAATAATTCCTTATCAAGACACGGTGACGTTAATAAGAGACAAAAGCCAGAAAATTGATTACTCAGCTACAGGTCACCACAGACCTGCCACGTGGCTTAGAGACAAAAAAATGACAGAATAAATCTAAAACTTTTAATTAAGGCTAAATGCTGGCGGACAGTTTAGCCATACAAGTTCCTTGAGCTACAAGGACAAGGGAAAAGAAAAATCTCACAACTTGTCTTTTAATCAAAATACAAGGAGTAAGGACCAAGTAAACTGGCAATCATTCAACATTAAATAATATTTTTTTTCCTGTTTATTCAGAAAATTTAGACGTTTTTGGAGGTTTATCCAGCTCAGACATAAACCAATACATCTCCGACAGAGTTAATGTTTGTGTAATACTATGACTTTGTACTTGATAAAAACAAGAATAATAACTAAATATAAGCAATTGAGTATTGAAGTTTGCTCCTGTTTTTTTACATTCTGTCTCGAAGCTCCATACCGTGAATATAAGTATCCCAGTTGTAGAGGTAAAGATCAAGTCTAAGGCTTTTGCCCTCCCTTAACAGTTGAAATTGGCTGCCCCCATTTGAGCACCACAGATCTCAACCTTAGTCGAAGCAGCTTGTAAAGCAAATTCCCACTATGGACTGGACGTGGACAACTCTTGCAGTCGCTGTACTGATCTTTTTCTTTCAATCACTGGTCCGGAAAAGTAGTGTCAAAAATAAGAGATTACCTCCTGGTCCGAGAGGTCTTCCTATCCTGGGAAACCTTTTCATGATGGGGGACAAACCTCACCGAGATCTTCAACAGTTAGCCCAAAAATATGGCCCCATTATGCACTTGCGCTTTGGCTCCATGCCTGTAATTTTTGTCTCAGCCCCTGAAGCTGCCGAGCAGTTCCTCAAGACATACGACCTTGTTTTTGCTAGCAGGCCTCCTCATGAAGGTTCCAAGTATATTTGTTACAATCAGCAGAACATATCCTTCTCTCCCTACGGGTCGTACTGGCGCAACATGCGTAAGATGTGCACTCTGGAGTTGCTTAGTAACCTTAAAGTTAACTCTTTCAGGTCCATGAGAAAGGAGGAGCTACATCTTTTCATTGACCGTATTCAAGAGGCTGCTTCTGCTCGTACTGCTGTTGATCTTACTGCTAAGGTCTCATCTCTTAGTACTGACATTTCTTGCAGAATGGTGCTTGGAAAGAAATACAATAATGATGATTTCGATGAGAAGGGCTTCGAAGCTATAATTCGAGAGGGTATGCAAATTGGAGCGGCTTTTAATATAGCTGATTACATTCCTCTATTTAAAGCACTAGATCTTCAGGGGCTAAAAAAGCGCATGAAAGCTGTTGCCAAGGTTTTTGACGACTTCTTTGAGAAGGTCATTGATGAGCATGTTCAATCCAAAGATGAAAACAGAACCAAGGACTTCGTTGATGTCATGTTGGGATTCATGGGATCAGAAGAAAGTGAGTACCGCGTGGAGCGAGACACTATCAAAGCAATAATCCTGGTACTCTTCTACATCTCAACAAACAGAATTTGTTTTTCCCCTGGATATAGACTCCTAAAACCAGAATTTATCTAAACTTTGTGCATGGGTACCTTGTTAGGCTTTGAGTAATTATATTTGTTTATCACGATGCTTGCAGGACATGCTTGTAGCTTCAATGGACACTTCAGCAACTGCGATTGAGTGGACACTATCCGAACTCATCAAGCATCCACGGGTGATAAAGAAAGTCCAAAAAGAATTAGAAAATGTGGTAGGCATGGAGAGGCTGGTGGAAGAATCAGACTTAGAGAAACTGGAGTACTTAGAGATGGTTGTGAAAGAAAGCTTTAGGCTCCATCCAGTGGCACCATTGCTGGTCCCGCACGCGTCTGTGGAAGACTGCACAGTTAATGGCTTTCACATACCCAAGAATTCACGCGTCTTCATAAACGCATGGGCCATTGGGCGGGACCCAAATGTTTGGACTGATGCAGAGAAATTCATTCCAGAGAGATTTGTTGGAAGTGACATTGATCTGCGCGGACGCGACTTCCAGCTAATCCCATTTGGCTCTGGTCGCAGAGGGTGCCCTGGAATGCCACTGGCTCTCACCATGGTTCGGCTTGTTGTGGCACAGTTGGTTCATTGCTTCGATTGGGAGCTTCCAGATGGTATGTTGGCAACTGAATTGGACATGACTGAGGAATTCGGACTAGTTAGTCCAAGAGCCAAGCATCTCTTGGCTATACCAACCTGGCGCCTAAAAATAGAGAAAAGGGCTGTTTAATTTCTACAAATAATATATTTCCCGAGTATGTTTGTTGCTTTCTCTAGTAATGTCTCAATTTACATGCAAGTTTTTGTGAATTTGTCACATCTCACATGGTTAACAAATAAGATCTGGATTTACCTTTTTGTTTTGGATATATATCCAACTTCAAAAAATCTATCCATAAATGTATGCGAAGACCCAAATCCATAAATTTCAATTTTTAAGCTGTGTAAGGACAAGCAATATTGATTTTATGTGTTTTGAAGTAGAAGCTCGTCCAAAAGGGATTTGAGTTTAGAAAGAACTTGACAATAGCAATCTAGCTTGTAATTTTACAATCCAAAATGAATGGATTTGTTTATCCACTGGGGTACACTACGCAAAATCCGTCAGTGGATAATCAAAAGTCAAGGATATTAGTTTACCTACTGCATAATTTATCCATGAATAACAAGAAAAAGCTTACCCTCTCGGACCCGGAACTTTGATTAAGAAAATTAGCACCAAATTACCTAATCATTTCTAACCTTTTATTTCTCTTTCTTAACTAAGCAATAAGGTAAAAGGTCATAATCACTGAAAAACAAGATAAAATGACATAATCATTAAAAAAAGTAATAAGATAAAAAACATAATCATTAAAAAAATTTCTTATAAAATATAAAGTATCTATTTACAAATGAAATGAGTACTATTTATAAATTAATAAAATAATATTTATAAGATTTGATTTGAATGGAGTATATCATTATTTTAATTTAATTAAGTTATATCTAAATCTAGATATAAATAATCAAATATCATATTACACTTCTTGTATTTGTCCCGTTATGCTATTTAACTTAGTTGTCATAACACAATAGACATTTATGTATTCATAACACTTATCTATTTAGTCAAAGTTTTAAAAAATTTTACCTTTTATTTTGTTTAATTAAATTCTTACAATTTATTTTAGATCAAATAAAATTTTATTATAAAGATTTGATTAAAAATAATAGAAAAATAAAGATTTATATTAATTTTTTAATAATAAGAATTTTTTCAAATATTATGCCAAAAATTTTGAAATAGAAATAAAGTAAACTGATGTGTGACAAATCATAAATTAGACTAATAAAAGAATCCGCCCTCGAATTGTTTGTTTTCCCAAAACGTGTTGTTGTAATTACCCAAATTCACAAAAATAATATCATCCACTTTCACCAAAACACACTCGAACACATTGAAAGCAAATTCGGTTTAAACTAGGTATTTGATGTTTGTATTTGTAAAAATAGTCATATATGCATACATTAGATAAAATCATATTCGGAGTTCAAAACAAAAGAAAAATATGTGTTGCATAAATTATATTCCAAAACCGGAACAAAGAGATTATATATATTTATATATATGCATGTTCAACCTAATTTAACAAATCACATGATAAAATATTATATACAATATACAAAATCTAAATTCATTAATTTTAAAAAAGTGAAAACACTGAAAAAATATTAAATCACTCACCTGATTTACTAAAACCAAATTTAAAGAATAAAAATCGAAATCCTCTTAAAATTTAGTAACTCAAAATACTAAAAATTAGAAATTAACTTTGTTAACTTGTCAAAACAAACATAACTCTCCACTAATCAAAACTAATTTTGCAATGTTTTTCAAAATTTGAATTGTTTTCTTAATAATTTATTAATACATAAAAGCATTCAAAATTTAAAAACTCATAAGTGTCATTTGGTGCTTTACAATGCAATCATATTATATGTAATATAATTTTAGAGAATGTAGTTTTAAAGAGTCTAATTGTATGGAAAATAACATTTTAACATTTAGTATATTAGGAAAGTATTGATTAAAATGTCGAGAATATAATATTTTACAAGCACTTTACTATAAATGCAATGTTAATTTTCAGAATTATTTATATCTATTAAAATATAAACTTAATATATTTGTATTTTTTTTATTATAAATTTTTATATGACATTTTTTCTTGAATAAATTTTTAATTTTATAAATTTTATTTTATATTTTATTATAATCTCCTATATTTTATTTTTATTTATTATAATATAAATTTAGTTTATATATGTCATGAAAAAAAGAAACTTATATGTCCAACGTTGCTTATATGGCCATCGGCTTAAAACGTCGTCGTTACATAAGCGAGAGACTGTTGAATCTGCAATTCCTCATGAGGGAAGTTGAAACTTAAACCTTAAACCCTCTGCACAAAATTCCTCACAATGCAAGTACTGAAATCATCTTCCGTTTTCTCTACTCCCCATTTCCTCAATTTCTCCTTAAAACCCAAATCATTTATTTTTCTTCTCTACTATTCTTCTTCTTCGTCTTCTCCTTGTTCCTCTTCTTCTTCAACCTCAGTTTCAAATTCTCCCCTTTTCAATTACCTCGTAAAGAACTTGGATTTCACTGAAACTCAAGCTCTTTCAATCGCTAACCGTTACCCTAACGTCAAATCCTTCGAAAAGCCCCAATCTGTTGACAACTTTTTCAGAAATGTTGGCTTTTCTAATGCCCAAATAGCCGCTTCTGTACGAAACGTGCCTCAAATTCTCTTTGCTAATGTAGAAACGGAGCTTAGGCCAAAAATCAAGTGTTTTCAAAATCTGGGTCTTATGGGTACTCACCTGGGTAAGTTCCTTTCCAGGAATTCTGTGCTTTTAGCTTGTAGTTTAGACAAAAAGTTGATTCCTTCTATCCAAATTGTCAAGAGAGTTTTAGGGAATAATGAAAATAAGGACCTGATCAAGGTCTTCGATAGAAGCAATGGTTTTATTGCCAGTGGTCGCATATTAAAGTTGTCGAGAAACATTGAGTATTTGGAGAGCTGTGGGATTGTTGGGTCTCAGCTCTCAAGGTTGTTAAAGAGACAACCTAGGATTTTCAGAATGCGACAATCTGCATTAAGGGACCTCGTTTCCAGGGTTTTAGATATGGGTTTTTCAACTGATTCGAGGATGTTAATACATGCTATTCATACTATGAATCGCTTGAGTGAACAAACACTTAAGAAAAAATGGGAATTACTAAAGAGTTTTGGTTTTTCGGAAAATGATTGCTTGGATATGTTTAGGAAGGCCCCAGGTCTCTTTAGGCCCTCTGAGGAGAAAATGAAGTTAGGAATAGTGTTCTTTATGAGTTTAGCAAAGGTTGATAAGAATGTGTTGGTTTCTAGACCTCATCTGTTGATGAATAGCTTGGAAGACCGAGTGATTCCTCGATACAGAGTTTTGCAGATTATCAAGGTCAAGAAGTTGTTGAAGAAGGAACCGAGTTTTCTTAACCTTTTGGACTATAAGGAGAGAGAATTCTTGCAGTTCATCTCAAGGTTTACAGATCATGTGGAGGAGCTGTTGATGGCTTACAAGGCTCATCTTTTGCACACTTAAGAAGAAGAAGAAGAAGAAACATGATAGAAGTCTCTTTTTGTAAAACTTGGTGTCACTTGACCTGCACCAATCTCAATTAATAATGGCCAGTTTTGAGCCTTCATGTTGATTCAATCAGAAATTAGGCATGTGACAGGTCCTGAGTTTGCTATTTGACAAGATAGGAAATATCAACAGAAATGTTTAAGATGCCCTTTCATGTTTTATGGAACTTAAGGGATCAATACTGTGATGGTCTCCATCCATAATCTCAATGTTCAAGTTGTGTAAAAACAAGAAATGTTGAGATTATGTGTTTTAAAGTACAAGCTCGTTAAAAAGAGATTTGTAGTGGATGAAAGAGTTTCCAATTTTTAGTGGTTGTTGCTAGCTTTTCTAGCTAGAACCTATATTAAAGTTAGTTCATAGACCTATAAAATAATTCTGTAATTAATAGATAAAAAAAATTAAGTCTATTTTTAGTTTACTCATTATATTAGAAATTAAAATGGGAAACGTCTATAGTGGCATTTATTATTGACCTAAGGGACAAATAAAACTCAACAATATGTACAAGATTCATGAAAGAAATTTCGAAATAGAAACAAAGTAAAATGATGTCTGACATAACATAAATCAGACCAATAAAAGGATACCACCCTTGAAATATTTAACTTTCCAAACGCGACGTCGCATCTATGCCCTTCTGCTTGGAACGCCACCGTTGCAAAACCCAGAGACTGTTAAATCTGCAATTCCGCATTGAATTTTAAACCCTAAACCCTCTGCACAAAATTCCTCAGAAGAACTCAATGCAAATCCTGAAATCATCTTCCATTTTCTCAACTTCCCATTTCCCCAATTTCCCCATAAAGCCCAGATCATTTATTCTTCTTCTCTACTATTCTTCTTCTTCTTCTTCTTCTTCTTCTTCTTCTTCTTCTTCCACCTCAGTTTCAAATTCTCCCCTTCTCAATTACCTTGTAAAAAACTTGGATTTCACTGAAACTCAAGCCCTTTCAATCGCTAACCGTTACCCCAACGTGAAATCCTTTGAAAAGGCCCAAGCTGTTGCCAACTTTTTCCGAAATCTTGGCTTTTCTAATGCCCAAATAGCCGCTTCTCTCCGAAACGCGCCCCAAATTCTCTTTGCCAATGTAGAAACGAAGCTTAGGCCAAAAATCAAGTTTTTTCAAGATCTGGGTCTTGTGGGACCTCACCTGGGTAAGTTCCTTTCCAGGAATTCTGTGCTTTTAGCTTGTAGTTTAGACAAAAAGTTGATTCCTTCTTTCCAAATTGTCAAGAAAGTTTTAGGGAATAATGATAATAAGGACCTGATTAAGGTCTTCAATAGAAGTAATGGGTTTATTGCCAGAGATTGCATATTAAAGTTGTCGAGAAACATTGGATATTTGGAGAGCTGTGGGATTGTTGGGTCTCAGCTCTCAAGGTTATTAAAGAGACAACCTAGGATTTTCAGAATGCGAGAATCTGCATTAAGGGACCTCGTTTCAAGGGTTTTAGATATGGGGTTTTCAACTGATTCAAGGATGTTAGTATATGCTATTCATACTATGAATTGCTTGAGTGAACAAACATTTAAGAAGAAATGGGAACTACTTAAGAGTTTTGGTTTTTCAGAAAATGAAAGGGTGGATATGTTTAGGAAGGCCCCAGGTTTGCTTAGGACCTCTGAGGAGAAAATGAAGTTAGGAATTGAGTTCTTTACGAATGTAGCAAAGTTTGATAAGAATGTGCTGGCTTCTAGACCACGTCTGTTGATGAATAGCTTGGAACATCGAGTGATTCCTCGATACAGAGTTTTGCAGATTATCAAGACAAAGAAGTTGTTGAAGAAGGAACCGAGTTTTCTTAACATTTTGGACTATACGGAGAATGAATTCTTAAAGTTTATCTCAAGGTTTACAGATAATGTGGAGGAACTGTTGATAGCTTACAAGGCTCATCTTTTGCACACTTCAGAAGAAGAAGAAGAAACATGTTAGAAGTCAGTTTTTGTTTAACTTGGTTTCTCTTTGACTTGCACCAATCTTAATTAATAAAGGCCAGCTTTGAGCCTACATGTTGATACAATCAGAAATTAGGCATGTGACAGGTTCTGAGTTTGTTGTTTGACAAGATAGGAAATATCAATCGTAATATTTAAGATGCCTTTTGATGTTTTATGGAACTTGAAGGATCAATCACTGTGATGGTCTCCAAGTAGGCACCAGGGTTCAGTTTCTCATGCAAGCTGGATGGCTGTGACGAAGAGATTTGCTACAAGGGAAGCTGATCAATGACGATACACATTTGATTCTTTTTTTTGCAGGCAATTCTGAAATTGTAACTTTTTGAATGCACAGTCTTCAAAACTGTATGATCCTTTTTTCAAGGGAAGTGTTTATAAACTCAGTTTTTGGGGCTGCAGCACATGATCTGATCTGGCCGAGAATGTTGTGAAGGCCTAAGAACTGTTACAAGATGTTGGCGAGTTGATGGTTTATGTTAAGGGCTAAGTGAAACAGATTGATTGATGTTCCAGGATAAGAATTCAAAGATAGTTGGCCTTAATTTTTGCTTCTTGGCATGATACTTTGACTTAGTTTCTCTTCATCATGATTACCTGACTTGGGGCAGCTACATTTGGATTGGTACTTGCTGCATATTAGGACTGAGATGGACAAGTTTGTGAAATTAAGGTTTAGCTATTACATTGGGACTCAGATGGAGGTGGTTCAATGGTAGGCTTTCCTGCCAGAGCTATACTGTTAAACCTCTTAGCGTAGTATCGGGGGCTTAAATTTGGGCCTCTGGGAGCTTTAAGGTAAGGCTAACTATTACCAAAAGCACCTCAAACGGCTTCATTTATGTAACATTTTGAATTGTAATTTATTTCATTTTTTCACTTCTGTTCCATCATTTACAACAGCATATCTCAAAGTCAGTGCACTCGCTGCCGGTGTTAGATGTGCAATATTCATGTATTCATCAGTAGTGCAGGTTGGAATAGGGTCGGAAATATTTGTACATTGCCCAACAAACTGAGTACAAAAGAGAGAGTACACTTACGGTTATGGAAGGACTGTTATATCAATAAGAATCTTAGGCTGGGCCTAGTTGCCATTACCCCTTCCTAGCTAGCTACAAAGGTGAAAGATTCAATCAACAAACAAGCAAAAATAATTAGCATAGAAACGGAAATAAAGAGGCTAATCCAAGAATTTCATGTGCAAAAGGCCCAAATTACCCAGTCCATCATCATACATTATCGTTGGGTCTAATACAATAAAGTCAGCTTTTGTAAGAAACTTTAGTTACATTTGCTTAGAAAAACTTTGTGATTCATAATCGAACTCAACTTGTGAAAATAATGAATGCTACCCTAAACTAATTGACATAACATAAATTTCGAAATCGAAAATCCACCCTTGAAAAGGTTGATTCCTGATGGTCCGTCGCTGCTTATATGGCCTTCTGATCAGAACGTCGTCGTTACATATGCGAGAGACTATTTAAATCTGCAATACCGCATGACGGAAGTTGAATCTTAAACCCTAAACCCTGTGCACAAAATTCCTCAAAAAAAACAGAATGCAAGTACTGAAATCATCTTCCGTTTTCTCAACTCCCCATTTCCTCCATTTCCCCTTCAAACCCAAATCATTTATTTTTCTTCTCTACTATTCTTCTTCTTCCACCTCACTTTCAAATTCTCCCCTTCTCAATTACCTTGTAAAAAACTTGGGTTTCACTGAAACTCAAGCTCTTTCAATCGCTAAACGCTACCCCAACGTGAAATCCTTCGAAAGGCCCCAATCTGTTGCCAACTTTTTCCGAAATCTTGGCTTTTCTAATGCCCAAATAGCCGCTTCTGTCCGACACGCGCCCCAAATTCTCTTTGCGGATGTCGAAACGAAGCTTAGGCCAAAAATCAAGTTTTTTCAAGATCTGGGTCTTGTGGGACCTCACCTGGGTAAGTTCCTTTCCAGGAATTCTGCGCTTTTGGCTTGTAGTTTAGACAAAAAGTTGAATCCTTCTATCCAAATTGTCAAGAAAGTTTTAGGGAATAATGATAATGAGGACGTGATTAGGGTCTTCAATAGATGCAATGGTTTTATTGTCAGAGATTGCATATTAAAGTTTTCGAGAAACATTGAGTATTTGGAGAGCTGTGGGATTGTTGGGTCTCAGCTCTCAAGGTTGTTAAAGAGACAACCTAGGATTTTCAGAATGCGAGAATCTGAATTAAGGAACCTCGTTTTGAGGGTTTTGGATATGGGGTTTTCAACTGATTCGAGGATGTTAGTACATGCTATTCATACTATGAATTGCTTGAGTAAACAAACATTTAAGAAGAAATGGGAATTACTAAAGAGTTTTGGTTTTTCGGAAAATGATTGCTTGGATATTTTTAGGAAGACCCCAGGTCTTTTTAGGACCTCTGAGAAGAAAATGAAGTTAGGAATAGAGTTCTTTACGAATGTAGCAAAGGTTGATAAGAATGTGTTGGTTTCTAGACCATATCTGTTGATGAATAGCTTGGAAGACCGGGTGATTCCTCGATACAGAGTTTGGCAGATTATCAAGTTAAAGAAGTTGCTGAAGAAGGAACCGAGTTTTCTTTACATTTTGGACTATACAGAGAATGAGTTCTGGCAGTTCATCTCAAGGTTTAAAGATCATGGGGAGGAGCTGTTGATAGCTTACAAGGCTCATCGTTTGCACACTTCTTCTTCTTCAGAAGAAGAAGAAGAAGAAGAAGAAAAAGAAACATGATAGGAGCCTGCTTTCGTTTAACATGGTTTCACTTTGACCTGCACCAGTCTCAATTAATAAAGGCCAGTTCTGAGCCTTCATGTTGATTCGATCAAAAATTAGTCATGTCACAGGTTCTGAGTTTGTTATTTGACAAGATAAGAAATATCAATAGAAATGTTTAAGATGCCCCTTTATGTTTTATGGAACTTGAGGGATCAATCACTGTGATGATGGTCTCGGAGTAGTTACATGGTTCAGTTTCTCATGCAAGCTGGATAGCTGTGACAGAGATTTGCATCAAGAGGAAGCTGATCCACAAGTGCACGCAATTGATTTTCATTTTTGCAGGCATTCTGAAAGTGAAGTTATTGAATGCACTGTTTACAAAACTGTATGATCTCTTTTTCGAAGCAAGTGTTTACAAACTGAGTTTTTGGGGCTGCAGAGAACATCTTGAGGGCCCAAGTACTGTTACAAGATGTTGGCTAGTTGATGGCATCTGTGAAGGGCTAAGTGAAAACAGATTGATCAATGTTCCAGCATAAGAATTCAAAGAAATTTGGCCTTGATTTTTGCTTCTTGGTATGATATTTTGGCCTAGTTTCTCTTGAGCATGATTACCTGACTTAGGCTGCTATATTTGGATTGATTCTTGCTGCACATTAGGACTGAGATGGACAAGTATGTGACATTAATGTTTGGCTACTACATTGGGACTGAGATGGACAGGTCGCAAGCTTAATGCTTGAATTTGGGAAAGATTTAATTTTTTTTTCTTTTAAATTTGTTGAATCTATAATTACTACGATTAAATATTTGTATATAATATTTTTAATATTAAAAATTCAGTTTTAGATGTTTTGCATAATTGATGAATATTGATATTATTATGATATTATGATGTAAAATATTTTTTGCAAAATGATTTAAATACCAAAAAATATTTTTGATATTTTTTTCAAATAACATATTTTAATAAAATATTTTACAAAGGAAAAAATTCTTTCAAACGAATTACTTGTCAGTTACTAAACAGAGTTTTAGTTAACTTTTGATTGGTATAACAATAATCCTTTCTAATCATAAGAGTGCGTTCAACAACATTACCTAAATCTTAAAATTAAAGTAACTTAAATACTGTTTTTTCTCCTTTATTTTTTTACAAGGCTAGATCTAGCTACTGTTACCCCTTCTCAGTTACCTAGTTAAACTAAAGGTAAAAGATTTAAAGTTTGAATTCTCTTTTTCAATTAGATTTCTTCAGATGTAATTTTTTTATAAAAAAAAAATTAGAAAGAAGAAAACAAGAAATTAAAAATTCAATTATATATATATATATATATATGGGATACGAGAGATTGATTAATCAACAAACAAGAAAAACAAATTAGGAGATAAAAGAATAACGAAGAGGTTGAATCCAAGAATTTCATGTGCAAAAGACCCAAACTACCGAATGTCATACATTTTCGTTGGGACCAAATACAATAAAGTCAGCATAGTAAGAAACTTTAGGTAAATTTGCTTAGAGAACTTTGTGACAAATAATGAATGCTGCCCTAAACTAATTGACCGAATTACTTCAAATGTCATAAAGAGATTGACTGTTATTGTTAATGATTTGAGTACAAATAAGTCTTAATTATTTGGAAGGCTATAATTGTTTGCAATTCTTTTTTTTTTTTTTTGAGACAAGTTTGTTCATCTTTTCTTTTCTTTAGCTTTAATAAATTGGCCCTTTTGCAGAAAGAAAATAAATCATATTATTGTTATAATTATTTATTTAATAATATTATTAGGAGTATTATTTTTTGGGCTAGATCAAGCGGGCAATTCCTGCTAGACCACCTGACTGGGGTTGGTGTAGGCCTGCCAAACATCACGTGCCTGACTCCTACAGTCCTACCCATTCATACGTGGACAGGATTTTTTGCAAAATATATAATTATATAAACTTCAATTAAAATAAAAATTAGTTGACACGTAAGCCAAAAAGAGTCCAAATGAATTCCGCCTAGACGAAGCGACTTTGTGGCCAAGACATCCCCGCGACACTCTACTCCAATCAAAACTCTCAGAATCCCCACTCTCTCAATCCTCCTCCTGCCACGTGTCCTCCTAATCTCCACTCTTTTTCCCCCTATATTTTCCTGGCAATTTTCGCTCTTTTACACTTTTTCCTCTCCCACCTGGTTCTCTTAAAATCTGTCCGTTTCTCGTCACTCTCCTGCACTCTGGCACCATAGAACCTTCACAGTCCCAAAAATAACCCCAAAAAAGAAAAATAATGAACAAGTTTGGGGGTTAGTTAGGGTTTGATTCAATTTCCTGTTGAAGAAAACGAAGATAATTTGTTACATTAATGGCGTCGTCTCTACCATTACAAGAGCTTCATTTTCTCTCTCCAACAACTTCTTCAAAGCACCGGTTTTATCTCTCTAGATATTCTTCGCGCTCTAGAGTTTCTCTCGCCGGAAATAGCCATTTTCGGAACGGCGTCGTTTCACGTTATCGGATTCGAGCTCTTAGAGAGGAAGGAGTTGCGTACGAGGAAAGGGAGAAAAAATTTATCAAGGAAGTTAACGGTAGGTTTGAATTGGATGGAAATGGGAGTGCTAGTAAGTATGAGTATACCAATGGGTCAGTTGAGGGATATTCCAATGGTGGGGTTGGAGTGGTGGAGAGTGAGAGCAATGGGAGTTTGGTGAAGCATGTGAATGGGAATGGGAATGGTGCGGCGGCTGTGACGGCGGCGGTGACGGCGGCAGAGGTGGTGGTAGTGGAAGAAGAAGGAGTAGTTTCAGAGGCGGCGAGGAAGAAGAGGTTAGAGGATATCGGGAAAGAGGAGGCTTGGTTCAAGCGCAGCGCTCAAGAACAAGCTGAGGTAGTTGGTTTTACTTCCGACCCAAAATTCATGGTTTTGGTTTTGAAGTAGTTGCTTGCCTTTTTCTTCTTAAAAATTGATGCAGAGCAAAGCAAATGACAGAAAGTAAAACCATTTTAATTCAGAGGGAACAAATGTCTGAAGTGACTAAAACACTACATCAAGTTAAACATAATTGTTGGGTATAAAAGAAAAATTATGTATCTAATTTTTACAAAATGTTACCATCTTAATGTTTAACTTTACAAAAAAAAAAAAGGTTTTAGTTTTTTATTCAAACAGCATATTTTCTGGTTGTTTCCCGAACCTTAAAAACAAGTGTCAAAAGTAACAACTAAGTGGCACCTTAATTATTTTGAAATAAATGCTGTTTCTGCTTTTATATGAGTAATATGGCTTATGGAATTTGAATTTTGACATCGAAGATTTTGCTAGCTCGTAAGCAAATTTACCTCTAGTTTAGTCTTTGTAGCATTACTTTAATTTTTAGGTTGTAGATCTCCAGGACTGATGCAGCTAGAGTATATATAAATTTTTTCTATCCTCTATAATGAATTATCTAATTTTATAGTTTGAGAGGAGTATATAGCAAAAATAGAAAAAATCTAGCTGTGCATATTTAACAGGAACGTTGATTAATTTGTTCATATTTTGTTCAATCGTTAGGCTTCATGAGCTGTCGTTCTCCTCCTCTTAATTCTTTAGTCTTTCCTTCAATTTTGTGTTAACCATCATTTTGTGGCAATAAATCTCTCAGGTTTCTGTTGCTGCTGGGGGGCGTTGGAGTAGATTCAAAACCTACTCAACAATACAAAGGACCTTGGAAATTTGGGGATTTGTTCTGACTTTTATTTTTAAGGCATGGTTGAACAATCAGAAATTCTCCTATCAAGGTCAGTGACTGCTAGATTTGCTTTTTTTTTTTTTGGTGCAGGAAATAAATTGTTGTTTTAAGTCTGGTCTATTTGACAAGTATTATTTTTTTTATTGAAAACAAAAAGAAATGAAAAAAAAAAGAAGAAGATAGTTTATGGCTCACTATGAATTGGTTTTGGTTAAGGTTAGAGGTTCTTTCTTCTTAGTTTCACAGGCGTTAAATAATGAAGCCCAAGTGTATGACCGTCTGCGACTGCCCCGTGTTTTTATTCTTCCAATTGTTTTTAATTGGAGGAAATGGAATATAAAAATTGGAAAAGCCCAAATCCATGACATAAGATGACAAAGGGACATTTTCAGATATGGAATTTGAGAAAGAATGCATCATGTGATGTAAACTCATTGTTATACCTTTTATCAACCCTAGTTCTAGTTTTACTATATAAATGGATGTTATTGAATAGAATTAAAATTCCCAAGTTGCAAATATAAAGAGAATTGCTATTGTGCGAAAAGAATTGGTTTTGAATGACTGACATAATCCAGCACTCAACAACCTTATCAGGATATTAAATTTTCTTGAGATTCTTCGTTATTTTGGCTTTTGGCTTTTTAGATGGTTGGTGTGCTTGTAGCAGTCTTTTGCATTTCTGAACTAGATGGAATATAGAGGTGTAAGGGGTGGTTAGGTTGGCCCTATGTTCTGAGAGGTAAATTTTGTGGTGTTTTATATGTGATAGCAGGAAAAACCTGGCTATATTATTTATGGACTAGAAACCAAGGCCCAAACCCCCTACTACAAGCAATCTCTAATAGAAAATATGTCCAGCGTGCCAAAGTTGTCCAATTAATGAGCTAGAGGAGTTTAAGATGATTGAAAGTTAATTAAGATCTATCATGTATGGGAATTACTTTGTGGTATAAAGTTTTTCTAAAGAAATTTTTTTTTGTCAAAGAGATTGAAGAGCTGGAGGACTTGCCTTTTGTTTTTTTACTATTAAAGAACAATGGCCTAACCTTTGCCTTTGTCAACTGATTGGCTTTTTATGCTTTGCGCAGAGGTAGGATTAGTTTTTTAAATATGTTTTGAGACATCTATTTCAGCTGTGGTGTGTAGTTTCTGATAACCTTTCCTTTATTTCTTATCATGTTCTTATTGTTCCTAGTTTTTAGTGTTATGTTTGTGGTTTTAATGTTGCATACATGCAGGAGGAATGACTGAGGAAAAGAAAGTTCTAAGGCGGAAGGCCCTGGCAAAGTGGTTAAAAGAAAGTATCCTGAGACTGGGTCCTACTTTCATCAAAATTGGCCAGCAGTTCTCCACAAGGGTTGACATTCTTGCTCAAGAATATGTTGATCAGTTGTCAGAGCTACAGGTTGAAGCTCCTTACTTTAAAAATTTTGAACTTTTTGGTTGAAGTTCATTTACTATGGACGTTAGTCTCTGCTTGGAGAAGAAACATAGGGCATATCAAGGGCATTAAAAAAAATCTAGAATAGAGTAATTCTGTTCCACAAAACCATATCATAATTTTCTTTTACTTACTACAACCCCCCTCCCTCCCACCTGCAAGAGAGAGAGAGAGAGAGAGTTTGCTGTCTAGATGGTTTCTAAGTTTAAAATTCTGTGGGGAAGAATTTAGTTGCTATTCACATGCAGGATCAAGTTCCACCTTTTCCATCAGAGACTGCAGTATCTATTGTTGAAGAAGAGCTTGGAGCCTCTGTAGATAATATCTTTGATCAGTTTGACTATGAGCCCATTGCTGCTGCTAGTCTTGGTAATTTTAATGTCTCTACTATTCTTCTGATGTGGAAATTTTTTTTCTGAATATTAGAATTTTGACTTTCACTTACCAGTTACCAATACTCGAAGTTTGACATTCACTTTTTTCCCTAATATTGATAATTTATTTGAATCTATTAAGAGGGACCAAAGTTTACTGAGGCTATGTCTTAAATTGTGCAAAGTGACGCAATATAATCCATATAACTGACTTTCATGGTTGGAAAAGACTTTGTTTGTTTGTTTTAATATTTTCATTTATTATCCACTTTTTGTTTCATGCACACACATAGCATATTAAGT